GAGTTAGGGTTAGGGTTAGGGTTAGGGTTAGAGTTAGGGCTGTCTCTTATACACATCTAGATGTGTATAAGAGACAGCCGTAATACTTTACTGTAAGCTTTTATGACTAGCTAGATTTGTTGCGGTTTTAATAGTTTTTTCTTAATTAAGCAATTTCAGACTCGTTGTTCTTATAAATTGTGTTGTGTTGTGGTGGTAGTGGTGGTGAAGGTTTGCCAGTGGAAATAGATCTTAAATACTTTCGGGTTCAACTGTTGGATGTTTTAGTATTTGACTTTTATTCTTACGATTTTTATAAATATGATCCTTGTGAATGTACCGTCAAAAAATTGATGTAAAGTACGTCTGATTAATTATCCGGGAGTGAGTTCAATCGATCGGGTTACCATGGAAACTAAATCACTGGTCACGCTATGCATTGCTGATTGCCAAAGAAGGGTTTACGGATGGATTGGGTTTTCGTCGAAAAACGGAAATATGTGATTGAATTAGTTGAAAATATAAACGATTACGCTATTAGCAGAGATAATTGTAGAGATGTCTCCAACGAAGGCAAATTAATTTATATATTTTAATCATTAAAAATATGTCTATGTAAATACAAATAACGTTGAATAGGCCTAGCCTATTCATATTTTGATTGCGTAAGTTATAAGAGCAATTAAAGAATCCTCTTCGATAAGTTAGGCCTACTTAAGGCCTAACATCCCTGCTTCTTAATAGGCGGTCCGCAGGCCAAATTTAATTTGGGCCGTGTGGAAAAACAAATAAGAAATATATATATAAAACATATTAAAAGTTCGAGGAATACATTTTCTTTAAAGTAAAGACAAAAATACAACACTTGGGTAATGTGCACGGGGTGGTTGGAAAATGAGCAAGATAATATAGGCCATAATTTTATTAAATAACGCCAAAAATCGATCACCGGGTACTTTCCGTTGTCCTATTCTTTATTGTGTGCTTCAAACAATAAATAAAAAAAAATTAAAATTAAAGAAAAAAAAAAAAAAACTACAGAAACACGTACAAATGTAGAGGTTACCCTACTCAGATCTAATTTTAAACCATGTATACAGAACTATAAAAAAAAAAAAAAAAAAAGTCCTAAGACTGCTATTTTTATTAGCTCAGCTAAATTTGACATAGCAGCTCAAAGAAAGCACTTTAGGCCTATCATAGACATGTTAAAATTTTAATGATTGAAGAGTCCTGGTGCATGATTTGAGATTAGTAGAAGCCCATTGTTAAAACATAGAGGTACTAAAACACAACTAAACGTGTTACTTGGCAATACGTCTATTTGGGTTTTATCGTCAATAAAAAAAATTTTAAATTTTGCATGGTCAAAAATAAGTGAACCAAAAAAACAGAGCTCATAATACATTTCAATTCTCAAGACTCTCTGTGCCAAGCTCTGTACGTCTCTGTGTTTTGTTTTGATCACTCAGTGTTCCGTCAATAGCCTTCTTTATTTTATAGGGGGATAATAGTTGGTGTAGGCCTACTAAAAGATGCTTAAAATTTTGTATTTTTCAAAAATACTAAGTCTAGACTTAAAGCGTACTAGGCTTTTGTATTGTGATCAATTACATTGGTAAAGCGATAATTTTGAAATTTCCACAAAAAAAAAATAAATAAAGAAAAAATAAATAAATAAATACTTTAATTTTGAAAATTCCAAAAAAAAAATAAATAAATAAATAAATAAAGAAAGAAAGAAAGAAAGAAAGAATGAAAGAATAAATAAATAAATAAATAAACTCTTAAAATAGACCGATTGTAGTGGAAAGAATTTCACTCAGATGTATATAACGACTGCTTTCAAATCGCCGATTATCTTTGGCCCTCTAAAAATAATTTAGTCCTTTCAAACAAATTAATTGAGAACTAGGGACCACATTATCTATTTATCTAAGTTAAGTTTGGTTTCCATAAGATCGCTACACGCTAATATAGACAGCTTGACGACGTTGAATCGGAATGAAATAAATATTCTCCTCGCAACGGGGGCGGATCCAGTCTGTTAAGAAGGGGAGTGATAGTGTGCGAGCCGAGAGAGAGAGAGAGGTGGGGTGGAAGTGGGCGAATAATGTCGGATGGTATTTGATAGATTTTTACTTTTTAGCATGGTAATTTTCTAATAAGCCTTAATTTATTTGTACAAAAAAAAATACGGAGGAAGGCGTACGTCGCCTCTCACACCCGACCCCCTATAAATCCGCAATTAACTAGCGAAGTTCATTCTTTGCATAGGCCTACTCTTAAATTTGAAAGTGATATCAAGTTTAAGATTTGTGAATTAAAAACATTATTATTATCATTATTAAATTTATTTAGGATGAGGCCTCACGGGGGTCCACTTTCATTTAAAGTGCCAGTTTGTTTGACCTTAATTGTCACTTCAAATAAGTTCAGGCCCCGAGTTCAGGCTTTTCTACGTAATTGTGAAGGTCGAGAAATATAAAACACAACTTCATTATGAAACGCGTACTATTTGAACACTTCTATGGCAAAGCATTATTATCCACAAAGAAGTGAATAATGGTAATCTACGGTGTATTGTTAATGGATTAGCTATACCTCGGTGGATTATACCAAACTTCCATATCCTTCAAAAGTAGGGTCGAGTGTTCGACTATTCCATTTCGTAGGTCAAGATCATCAGACTCCCGTTGGCATAAACATTTCAGACTGCCTGGCACATTCTAAAACCACGGCGAAGAAGTTATTTCCTGATTGGCAGTTGAGAACTATGGTCGTGTTGCTATCGGGCTTTTAACATCATCAGTTGTTTTATTTTAGTTTCTAGCATAGTTCTAGAGCGTTCTCGATTTTAAATTTGCTGTGGAAAATCTATCATGGAAACCACGAAAACTATTATCTGGATAGTTTTGTGCGTCGCACATCATGGATTTGCATTCAATTTAACAACAGGTAAGTGGACACGAGGACAGGCTTACACCTCCCTGGGAGAATGAACATTCCTATACTTTGTTTTATGACTATTTGAGGTGCTCCTCCATGCTTTGTTAACGTTGACCTACTGTGGGCTGTTATGCTTCGACAAGATGAACATAAACCAGGCTCCAAAAAAAAAAAAAATTGTTGATATGTTGTAGGCCTATAACTGATTTTTCTAAAACACAAAAATGATGTTGGAAGAACTTGGTAACGGATAATGTGACACAGATTTTTTAATATTTAATCAATCTTTAAACTTTCCAAAATCTGTTTCTCATTGACAGTTCCCAAGATTTTCATCAAACACTATTTTTGTGTCTATAGAAAAAAAATATAAAATCAGTTGTAGTACAACCACAGAAGTACATCTCCCAGGTATAACAATACATCAACATTTTTTTCCCTACGGAGCTTGGCTTTCAATTGGAGACCTGTCACTCTATATTAAAGACCACTTATAAGTTATAGGCCTACTTTATGACTGTGTTACAAGCCTGCTCCAGTTTGTAAAATCTGATTTAAAAAAAATTAACTATTCACTTTTTATATTTTTGCCCACATAACTTGTTGAATCAAAAACCACACGATGAATCGAGTCACAATTTAAGTTTGAATTTTATTTAAATTTTAATAACAACATGTGTTTCATTTTTGCGAATCGAGTCACAAGTTAAGTTTTTATGGTTAAGTTTAATTTTGTTTCGTTTAATGAATAAAATTGTATTTATTATTCTGAATTTTCACATTTTGTATGTGTTCTTTTCAAAGTTGAACACTCATCCTTATCATCAGACATGGAGTATTTCACTGCAGTAACAGAGATAATAACACAGTTTACCACAACACATTACGAGGACCCCACCATGGGAAGCGTCCCGGAAAATGGTCTGCCAGAAGAAAGAATAGAAACAACAATCGCCACAGGGAATTCTACCTTCCAGGCAAAAACGCCAGAATTTTTAAATTCCTTAGGATCAAGTTCAACTGATGACGTAGTGACGGCTAGTGAGTCACTTAATTCTACGGGGGATAAACAAACAACAATGGCCTCGTCACATATATCAACAATTACTGACTTCGGCGAATATTCTGAAAGTACTGAACATCCGGATCCAAAAATGTTTACCTCTTTAGACACTGTTTATACATCTCCCAGCAATTTACGCACAAATCATGGAGTTTCTTATGCCCCTACAAGTACCACGAACATTCCCGTCATCGACGACAAAGAGGTACTACTTTTCTCCCAGACAGTCGTTTTTGTTTTGATCGGAATTGTATCTGTTCTTGGTGCTATATTCATTATTTGTATTATCGTGAAAATATGTACTTGTTATAGAAAAAGGTAAATTTAATTGTTGTTTCGGGATATACTACTGTCTATGTTTATTTGGGAAAAATTAAGTACTGTAAAGCCTTTTACCTGTCTCTTACTATAATCATTTAGAGGTACTCCATGATATGAATTTCTGTTAAAAATACAATGTATGCCTATATTCACATATTAACATTTTATTTTTTTGTTTACTTTTTTCTTGTATTTACTATACATTTAATTATGGCCTGTGTTCGAAGGCCGTTTAACTAAACATTGCACATGAGCCAATGATCAATAATTATAATGATATGACAATGACGTCAGACGACGATGAACACAATGATAGTGAACATTACCAGCTAAAGAACAAATAGGTGACAATCGAATTGATGTTCTATGAAATAACAAGGTTAATGGTAGTGCCTGGACATTTGTTTCTGAACCTTCATTCACGCGTGGCTCGGACAATGGTGTTAACAATAATTATAATTTAAATAGGATAAGTAACTAGACGATAATTATAATGAATTTTTTAAATATCTTTTTAATTTTATTAACAGGTCGAAAAAGAGTAAACGGAAGCATTCTTGGAAGGTAAGAATACCAAATACAGTCACATGCTTATTTGTCGAATTTTACCATCTGTATTTTAATCTGCTAAATTGTATACCGTAGGCCTACACCTAGAATCAGTTACTGTTAATTTATAACGCTTTATAAAGATATATAAGGTGATTGTTTATTTCTATATATTGACCTTTGACATACCTATCAATGCGCATTTCAAACTACCAGACGGCGTATTGTCACGATTTTTACTTTCCATACGTTAGTTACCGTGGTGAAAAACGAATGAACTCTCATCACACACACTACACAAATTCTTTAGGATTATTTCAACAATGGTTATTCCTGTCATGAGACTTATGTTAATGAACAGTGTGCTTCTGTGTACTTCGACTTACTTTGTATATTTAAGTAAGTTAGTAACTTTAAATAGGAAAATTAAAACGTGTGAAAATATTTTCGTCACCAATTAAAAGACGCGTAAATAATACTGTCCTATAGTTCTGCATTATAACTTTCTTAAATTAGATAATTATTTTGTTGAATCAATGATAAACTGTTTCGATATTTGCCGCGATATTTTAAAACTTTTCATGTTATATCATGACAATTATAGCGACAATGACATTTTCCTTGCATAATGACACCTTTCCTGACACTGTAAATATACGTGATAGTTTGTGAGACATGCGCGTATTCCTGACTCTGCTGATTGGTCAGTGGTTAAATTTGATTGACACTCGGAAAGGGCCATTTACTAAAAATAAATAGCGTACTACGTATTTATACAAATGTTTTATTCTTGTTCATTCATCATGATTGAAATTATAAAAATCTTTAATATTATTATTATTTATTGACAACTCACTTCTTTTATCTTGTGAAAGCTATTAAAAAACGGAAACCTTACGAACATTTCGACATCAATCGATTTGTCGTATAAAATATATCTAAGCTAAATTAATAATGTATAATTAATGATTTTTTTATTACAAATTTGAGACGATACAATTGAAAAAAAAAGCTTTATCCAGGAGTGTGTTCAGGGAACGATGTGTTAAGCTTAACACGTGATTATCTCCAAGTTCCAAACCAATACATTAATAAAGTACCGTATATAAAATGTATACAATAAAATAACACGTGATTATCTCCAAGTTCCAAACCAATACATTAATAAAGTACCGTATATAAAATGTATACAATAAAATAAACCCCATTTTAATACGTTTCAATATCCACCAGTAAAATAGTGTAAAAGTTATTGAATAAGGTGGCATAAAACCGGAATCTGATATTATAAGTATAGTTTGGTTTATATATTAATTTATTTCCATTCAAACACAAGAAATGGAATACACATTAAAGGCTGGGAATTCCCCCGATAATACCGATCGGCATACCAAACCGTGGACACCGTGCTACTGACTTTCTTTAAGCTTGGAGGAATTTTAGTTTCTAAACTAATTCCTCCATATTTTAAGTAACATAAGTTAAACAGCTTGTGGACGATCCAAGGACGACCTGCAAATATTGCACCACCACGGAAATAAGCAATTCGAGAATCGTTTTACTCAAGCTGTTTAACAAATTATATAATCTCTGTCTACAATAGATAAAACAACAGATTTGTACAAATGTAAAATATATAATAAAAATTGTCATCCATGTTTGTTACGGTACCGTTTAAAAACCTCCTTTTATTAATTTACTATTGTTAGTAATACTGTATTGCTATTAATTTATAAAATATGCTTTTATATCCTAAGCGTTTAAACTTTGCATGAAACGATATTATATATTTATTATTCTTTATTATTTATCTTTATTATTTATTTAAATAAACATGTGTCCCCATAAGACTTCACTAAGAGATTAAATACGGGGTTATTAATTGTTATAACATTTCAAATATTTTCCTTTCCTCAGAGAGCAAAGACGGCGATAAGTGATACATATTTCACTATTATGAGCGGGAAGAGACCTCCTTTGCCACCGAGAAATGCTCGAAGACACCGTGATGATGCTGAAGACCCATATCACGTCCCAGTACTCCTTGATCTTTCAAATAAAAAAATTCCTTATGAAAGCAATTTTGAAACGATGGTTTATCAAAACTCTGAAAATTCAACCAACCAGATACCGCCAGGAAACACTATTGACGCCGTAAATATGACATCTACGGTCATACACACTGCTGTAGAAAACATTTATGAAACTGCATTTCATAACAATGGTTTATCACCCGATGATGATGAATCAGGTATTAGTCCACCAAATGCGGAGGTCCCGCGTTCCGATGGGCCTACAGACGAAGAATCTCGCGCTGTAAAGCGCTACATTTCAATGCGCTGTCGACCTGATCAACGAGATGAGCTTCAAAGGAGTAGCGCATGCTCAGGTGACAGCGCAATTGCTGTAAATGGAGATAAAGTCATAGATGAATATATCAATAACTTATTAAAATTTGATCATGATGGAGGTGAACCTCGTTCTCCAGAGTACAACACGTACGATAGTGTCCCACAAAATCCTTTTCGTTTTCCAAAATCAGATTCCGAACATACCAATGGTTCACACTATGTAGAGAAATCATTTATCAATAATGAAGACGTTCATAATCTGGAATCGCCTGACTACAATATGCTACAATTCCGAGAACCGCAGGGGGATACGCAAAAATACGCTAGTTATTTACCTAAAAATGATGATAATACAAAGGCCTCGTTGAACGGTGTCGTTGCAGGAGGCAACCCGGTAGAGACAATTAGTCCTACTGTACCAAGTGTAGAGATGAATACTGTAAATGAACTTCAAAACGAATATACGATTGACCCTACCAATTTGCGTGATACCGCGACAGTGAAAGATGGTTCCGAGGGGATAATAGACATTAGAAAAAATTCATGGAAACAACGAGGGCTTTCATGGCGAATATGATAGTAATGAATCTTCTTCAGATTTTGCTATTATTAGTAGGGCCTACAAACAGTATTATTTTAAATATGTCTTCGAATGATATACAATGCACACACTTATCACCTTCTAATAACTTACTTAAATATTCATAATACGAAAGTGATATTTAACATGATTAAGTTTATTAGCACATACAGGCACTGTACAATATATAATTAAAATTATTATTAATAATTATTAGACTATTAGCATATTGTTAAATGTCATGCATAGGCCTACTTAAAGCATAAGCCAATGAATTACATTTACTGTCTTAAATTTATAAAAACAGGACTTAAAATAATTTACTGTGTTGGTTAACATGTACAGTACAATTTGTAACCAAAGGACAGAAGCTATGATCACGCTATCGGTTTTTATGTGACAAATTTGAGTAATCCCGTACAATATATGGCCAATAATGACGTCATATTTTCATACCCATATATGAAAAAAATTGATGTTTGTCGCATGAAGTTTGATAGTGTGAACAGAGCTTCTGGTTTCCATAAAACCGCTGCATAGTTATCGTTTACAGTTTTCGGCGACGCTAATTGGTCGGTCGAATCTCGGAACATTTAAGATTGGGTCGGGGACAGCTACTCAGTAGTAGTGATTATAGTGGGAATAAAACTATAAAAGTAGATGAGATGATGATGATGTTACTGGCAATAGTGGAACAGTCGCGCCGCGTTGTTGCGTCTAGTCTCGCATTCTCGCGTTTGAAGCTTGTAGCCAAAGTGTGAACCAAAGTTTCGCGTCTAATTTTGAGGTCACACTAAATCTCGCGTGCGTTGCGTATGAATCACACTTAAAAATAAGCAGTCATCATAACACTGTAATAACTTCAAATAGTACTCATCTAAAATGTTTTAACGCCTACGTATTAACTTTAAATACAAAAAAGAAGCGGAGGTGTAACATAGTGGTTAAGTTGTTTGCCCTCCAATCCCAATTCGAAATGATTTGTTGTCACAACACAAACATAACTCACTCCGCAAGCTTAATGTGAGATTTATGTAAAGCATATTTCATGTCATGTAAAAAAATTAAAACTAAAATACTTTTTAGTTCTCTATTGACGTATCATTGGCTCTTGTACTTAAAATAAATACAACCTTCGGTACGTTTTAATGTAAATTCGATATACTTGTATATTGTCACTTAATCGCCACGTATATGCCCATATATAATTTTAAACCAATTGTATAATAGTTGGTGTATTTTCTTTCTAGTCCAGATCATATGCTGCAATAAAACGACATATTTATAAATGTGTTGCATTCATCTTGGTTTTTTGTGTACTTAATTATTATTTATTTGTTCGATCGATGTATTGATTGATTTGCGAGCTTTGAAAATGTTTTGAAATTAACGAAAAATATCAATTCGTTAGAATGATGATGAAATGATGATAAGGACAACGGTGCATAACGATGATGGTGATAACGATGATGATGACGAATGATCATGATATTGATGACGACGATGAATGATGAAACAGAATGATGATCAGATTATGATGATATTGTCTCAAAAACGCCCAAACATGGTCATTCGAAACAGTAGTAACAATCAATACATTATACACAACGCACCACTTTCTTCAATTCCCGCTTATTGTGGAATACAGTCTTTACATTATTTAAAATTGTCCTATCACTGCGTTTCACTGCGTAACTAGTCTCAGCCAGTTTTATAGTTTCCCTGTCTACTTCTGTCTTTGGTGGTTTTGTGTTGTGTATTAAAATGTCATAACTTTAAAAAATATGATGTTAGATTCCAAGCTGCTGAGTGTCGTGGGCCTGGATGTGCAATCGTACTTCGAGCATACAGTACTGACATAAGTATTTTAAGTTTTAGTTTATTTTTAAGTCGATCTATGAGAAAACATAAACACTTTATTCATTCGTGTTTGCCTTGAGTTAAGCGTTTTAGTACACAAAGCAGCACCAAGTAATCAGATTTTAGCCTAATTAATAAAAATCTTTTTTGCATGGATTCATTATTGACTAACGAAAGATTACTTTGTACCATAGTTTGCACGTGGATTATATCCGGGTCACGTTGTTCGCATTGGAATTTCTCCTCCGGTAAACAACCTGGTTATTCCTGAGTAACGTTCTACACGGTTAAATCATGGAGCGGGCCATGGAGGAATAAGTTTATTCCTCCATAAAGTTAAACTTGCCACGCGTTCGGTAATTTGATCAAGGAGTAAGGTACGTAGGTTTCGCACTGATTTTTTGTTTCTTGTCAAGTGACTAGTACATATTAGGTTGATCAAAATTAATCCATCACAAACACGGCTTAATATTAAATCGAGCACTGACCTAACCAACTACCGACAATCAAGCAAATAAATACAATTTAAGTAGATTAGTTTGTTAATTCAATGTTCAAAATATTTCAGGAGCTATCCAAGCATTGTAGCTTCCGACAATGTTTTGATGAATATGGGAGTAAATCGCTTAATACCTTCCGAATATTCTCAAGTAGGTTTGCTATGTGAACGATTGCTATCAAAAATTAAACTTAATTATATTAAATGCCTGATATATAGGACGGAATATTTACCATATTATTGTAGGCTAATACTTGTAATTACAAATATAATTAATTAGTTCTTCAAAGCTGCAGTACCAATCAAAGCAACATTTTGGGGAGTCGGTGACGTGTCTGTAAATTTCAAAAACCATGATATGCGGTTCTCTTTACCAGTTTCTGACTACAACCACTCGTCGGCACAATCCACCATTAACCCAAAATTCGTCTTTACTTCATACCTTGCTCAATTGGTATACTTGTACTTTATTTCAGTGATCTTCACTCTAAAATCTTTCAAATAATAAATACTAGTGCACTTGCGTCACTTCTGAAAATTCTATCTTTAAAATTATTTAATGTTGCAGTTGTTATTTAAGCAACATCCATCAACGATGAACATCAAACTCAGTGCAGCTTAAACGGTTTTTTGTTGACTTGACTAAAGCTTTCAACTTTGATAGTCGGGATAATCTTCAGAACCTGACAATGGTTAGCCACTTTAAATTACAGGTCAATCTAATTTTCCCCGGATTTTTTTTTTTCAAAATGAAATTTGTTATTAATGAAAATTTCTGTGGTAATAGGTGTATCTTCGCCAACACTGACATAGGCCTACATATAAAGGTCTCCATCCACTTAAAGACTAATTTTGAGATCGGGGTTTCTATGGTCTTTAGCAGCTTTGGCAGCTTTGGTATGTAATTAGAATGCTAAAGACTAGAAATTGCAAATTGCAAGTGAAGTGCTGCGAAGTACAACTGCATATAAATGTTCTTCGAACAAAATTATTTATGCGAGTCAAGTGAAAATAATGAATAATAAAAATATAACAAATAATATGAGACACGACCCATTGTCTATATTAGAACACTGACGAACTGACGTAGAAACATAGTAAAAACGGGCGTTGGTACTGTGTATGCCAGTCTACAACAAGCGTCGCCTAAATGTAAAAATTAGCACGCTGAAATAGGCTAGTAAATAAGTTTAACTGGGTTCGTAAATAATATTGGCCTCAAAATATTGTGGCTGAGACATGGGCCGATTAAACGTATAGGAAACCTAGAAATATAGTAAAAACGCTGAATAGTTAGTAATACTCGAGCGTCGCCACATGCGGACTTTGGTACGTGTAGGGTAGTCTACAAACGTCGTCTAAAGTACAGTAATTGATTTTACCCGGCAGAACGAAAGAAGGAAACTCCGCTTTTCAGTCGTCTTAGGCTCTTGTTTTTTGACAAACAATGACCTTTCAGAGGTCAAATTGCTGTCAAGAATATGAATTTGCTGCAAGGATGTCCTTAATTGGAGGTGCTTTTTAATCAGAGAGGTCATTAATTGGAGGGAGACCTGTATTATGATTTCATAAAATAAAAACAAGTTCACATCACTATTTCTGATTCTATTTAATTCATAGTTTTTATTTTTACTAAGAAGTAAATAAAATGACGTCACAATTTAACGATTATGTTTCATACGGTTAACTTTTAACGTGAATTTTGATAAACAATAAAAAAAAAATTCAGACTCGCATCAATTGTTTTGTCTCGTTTCATTAACACGTTTCCATCCACATCGTAATGCAATTATTAATATTATTATCATCGTTATTCATATATACAAGTTATATGGATTCGTATATCAGAGATTTAGAATAATATATACAAATATCTCAACGATTCTATCTTGGTCTTAAACTTGACCATAATTCTTTCTTCTTAAAACTTTCCTATCAACATTATCAAACTTTCACATTATTTAACTTTAACATTATTTTCGATTCTGAATTAGTCCGATTCACTTTAATTCAGTTGAAAATCTTCAATTATATTTACGATTTTTATTTTCATATTTCTTACAAAAATTATCATAGTAAAATAATTTGACTTTACAAATTTCAAAAAAAGAAGCTAGATTTATGTTACAAAACTGATAATACTTAGCGGATCACAATCATATAAATTTGAAAAAAACTGAATCTCATCCTTAAATTTCCATTTTTTGAACTAACATTTCCAATGAATTGTTAACGATAAATCAACATCAAATCCAGGAACTTATTATGTTTCGTGATAAATTATACATCTTGAAATTATAATAAACTCTTACTTTACAGTACAACACAAGATTTTTCAAAAATTGAACCATCGAACTGTTTTGGATTATAACCTGCATTATAGGGGGATGGGGAATCTACGTATTTAAATTTAAATATATTAATTCCAAGCTTTATGAAAGCAAAACATATTCACACTATATATAAAGTATCTATAGATAAATAGGTTATAATATTTGCATCAAGCTTTTGTCCAATTTTTAAAGAAATCCATGTAAACATTAAACTTGATTCATTAAAATGATTTGATTCTTAAAAGACATAAATGTCCTTAGTGGTTGTGAATACTAAATCATTATTTTGAGCAAGAGCCTTGAATACAACACTTGTTTACAGTGCAGTAGATGACATTTGTATACAGTAAAGTATAATGTATCTTTATGTAACTTAAATAACACCAAGATGTTATACAGGCTATGGCACCCCAGAGATTCCAGTGACCATGGTATGGCACCCAACAGTACCAGTGATCATGGTATGGCACCCCAGAGCTACCAGTGATCATAGTATGACACCCCAGGAGTACAAGTGATCATGGTATAGCCCCCCAGAGGTACCCGTGATCATAGTATGACACCCCAGGGTACAAGTAATCAAGGTATGGCACCCAGAGGTACCAGTGATCATGGTATAACACCTCAGAGGTTCCAGAGATCATGGTATGGCACCAAAAAGGTACCAGTGATCATGGTATGGCACCCACATGGTACCAGTGAGTGATCATAGTATAAAACACCAGAGGTACCTGTGATGATTGTATGGCACACCAGAGGTACCAGTGATCATGGTATGGCACTCCAGAGGTACCAGTGATCATAGTATGGCACTCCAGGGTACAAGTAATCAAGGTATGGCACCCAGAGGTACCAGGGATCATGGTATAGCACCTCAGAGGTTCCAGAGATCATGGTATGGCACCAAAGAGGTACCGGTGATCATGGTATGGCACTCACGTGGTACCAGTGAGTGATCATAGTATGACACACCAGAGTATGACACACCAGTAGCACCTCAGAGGTACCAGTGATCATTGTATGGCACACCAGAGGTACCAGTGACCATGGTATGGCACCCCAGAGGTATCATTGATCAATGATCATGGTATGGCACCCCAGAGATACCAGTGATCATGGTATAGCACCTCAGATGTACCAGTGGTCATGGCATGGCACCCCGGAGACACTAGTGATCATAGTATGGCACCCCAGAGGTACCAGTGATACTAGAGATGGAACTTGACAAACAAGCCCTTAACATTCTAAATTCAAACACTCTTAATGTCATTACACCTAAAACTAATACTGTTTAAAATAAAACTTAAAATTGCTAGGGTAAAAATGTAAAGTTTATTCTATAATCAGGTTATGAAAAGTATTTTTCTTCATTGAATTCATCACAATTGCATTTAAGTATTTTTCACCGTCTATTTATTATAAGCCAGGACCAAAAATCTCAACTATCACCTTGGCTGTTTCATCCAGGATAAATATTTTTAAATCGAAAAAAAAATTAAATAAATATACAGTATGGTATGACAAGTATATAACAAGGTATGATACCTGTACAATAGTATTGTAATACTACAGTCATGTACTAAGGTACATGTGATAAACTATATCTCAACTTCTTCAGAGATTTAACGATTTTGACAGCAACAAACATGGAAATGTTGATATTTGGTATTTTACTCCAATATATGGTTTGATCTATGTGGAAGTAGGACAGGTGTGCAATATGCAAATGAGCAGTTAATAATCTATACTGCCCAGGAATCACTTATATTACTGAATACTTGGCTGGCAGATTTTGTCTTCAGTGTTGGAAGCTCATCAAGAATCTTTGAGAGAAAAAAATATAACAAAATGTATTTAATTTTTATTTATGTAATTGCATATCATGTTCTCATTGTTCTAATTACAACAGACCTTTCTGGAGTGTCAATCAAACTTAACAACTGACCAATCAGAGCAAGGTCACGAATATGGGCGAGTCCTACAAACACACAAGTTGTGCCATACATTTGGGACCTTAGCAACAATATCCAAGGGGCGGATCTTAGCGGAATGTTCCATTACAATATAATTATAAAGTATATTAATAACAACAGAATAGTGGTAATAGTAATAATAATATTGAATAGATAATAAGAACAATATAATGGTGACAATAACAATGAGTATGTTATTTGTAATGTTTTATATTGTTAATTGTTTTGCCAGAATGAATAAAATAAAATATATATAAAAAAATAAAGTATAATAATAATAAAAAAAATTAATTTGGTGATAATGATGATGAAGATGATGATAATAAATTAATAGACATGTCTAACTACCAGATAATTAAAAATGGTATTAAAATTAATTTAAAATTTTAAACTTACATTTTCACCGAGTAGTTCAGAGAGAGCCGCAACCATCTCTTCAAAATTGCCCTTCATTTTGTCGTGGTACTCATACTGATCAGATTTAATTAACTGGCTATTCCTTTCAAGGCATTCAGAGCATGCAACGATGAAATTTCTTAAAATATAAATTGAATAAAAATCAGATAAAGTAGGCATGAATGAACATATTGCCTAAAATTCTTTAATAATAATATTGCTTATTAATAGGGCAAAACAGTCACAGATATTAACAATTTAGTTTTTCCTGATCCTACAGATTTTTTAAATACCAAAATCTGCTCAGTGTGCCTCCAACAAACAATCAGCAGAGGGCGTTTGGATTATGAAATTTTCACAAACTCACTTAAAAACTTGCTTGAGTTCCCATACATGTTGGCTGGACCAGTGCTTCTCCTGATTTTTTCCCAAAAACGCTGCTGCATATGCTGTTGGACCAGCATTTACCTGAAAAAATTTACAAAAGAAATCAAACGTCAGAGTTCTAGTTTGGATATTTAAAAAACATATTATGTCATTCCCTTCATCATTCATAAAAACTAATAATAAAAACAAACAATTGAAAGTAATTTTCAGAACAAGACAGGAGGGTTTGGAGGAGGAAAAGCTGTAAAAAAACTACTATCAATGGCGATGTGTGCCCCTTCAACATTAAAATATTAGCAATAGTAAAATGAGATGGATTCATCGACCGATATTCGTATGACCTTCATACAACACGGTGCGCTTGGATTACGAAAGAATTTTCACAAACTCACTTAAAAACTTGCTTGAGTTCCCATACATGTTGGCTGGACCAGTGCTTCTCCTGATTTTTTCCCAAAAACGCTGCTGCATATGCTGTTGGACCAGCATTTACCTGAAAAAATTTACAAAAGAAATCAAACGTCAGAGTTCTAGTTTGGATATTTAAAAAACATATTATGTCATTCCCTTCATCATTCATAAAAACTAATAATAAAAACAAACAATTGAAAGTAATTTTCAGAACAAGACAGGAGGGTTTGGAGGAGGAAAAGCTGTAAAAAAACTACTATCAATGGCGATGTGTGCCCCTTCAACATTAAAATATTAGCAATAGTAAAATAGATAGAGTCCTTCTCTCGTTACCTTAAGCTCTGTTAAAGTTTTATGTGACAAATAACTGTGATTTGTCCATAACGTTGACAAAAAATAATTTGGTACTATTATCATGTAATGTAAATTTAAAATTGAATAATTATGTAATATACTGTAAATATTATAAAAAAATTAAATTGTCTTTATAAATTTTCAATTATTTTTCTATAAAATTTGCATTTTTTGTATTTAAACTTATATTTTTGTAATATCCAAATTTGTTAATTGATAATCATTTTGTTATATTATGTTTTTATTTATTTATCCTCACCTATGCCATTACCGAAAATGAAAACAAGTCAACACAAAAACTCATCAATACCTATAAATATTAAATAACTAAATGCCTGTGAATAATTGTGCAATATTAAACAGTATAATAGTACAGTACATAACTTTAAAAGAACAGCTGCAGATAATTTTTGTATTTTAAGTATTATATTTTAAGTTCTGATTTTTAATTAATTTTTGTAATCTACTGTACTTTTATGTAATCCAATAAATTTTTTTTTCTCATTAAGATAAATTTGTATATATATTTTTCTTATTCTTTTTATTTATTACTTAATTTAATTTGAATTGAAGTTTTAAATTGAAGTGCAATATATTAAGGCTAAATAATTAGATTCGTTTTTTTATATTTGTATCTATTGTAATACAAAAATTTTAGCTGCATGCTACCGTTTCGTACATTTTTTCTACACCGTAATAAATAAAAAAAATTTAAAAAAATTATTATTATTTTTTTTATTTATACCTTTATTTGCATATATTAAATTAAATTTGATAATTATCTTCATGTTGTATGTATTTCTTTGACGAGGACCCCTTCTGAAACAAGCATCCTAGCTTAAAGTGTTATCCTCTCCTTATATGCCATATAATGTTATATTGCAATGAACTTTATTTATTTAATTTGTTTTTAATGTACACTTGTATTTTTTTTTATATACTGTATGGATACCAATAAATACTATAAACAAACATCAAACAAATACCGCCCTCATACAGGATTTAAAGGCTTGTACGAATACTAACCTGCACACTGACGCTACCCTGTAACTTGAGTTGAAGTCCCTTGAGGTCAGGTGATATGCATGTGGTCACCTGATGCAGTTCTTTGACCCTGGTATTCATTTCATCGATAGCTACTTGGATCGGGCTTAGTTCCTGATGGTGCTCGTACATCACTTTGATGCGTTTCTTCACATAAGGGAATGTATGCGAAGCTGAATAAAAGGAGATTATACAGGTGAATGGTAGGAATTATGCAAATTAGACCTCCAAATAACAATTCACTATTATTTAAAGCTTAGCTGAGGAACCAATCTGTCATATCAATTGCTTGCGTAGTGTTGCTAAGTAACAAAGTGGTGTCACAGTGTTGTGACATCAGCAACCTAGTACTCGCTATAAATAAACAGTTGGTTTGTTAAAGATGGTTTTTAAAATACTACGGACCTAAACATTCATAAACAAACTGTAATGTGGTAATATGTACCTAGCACATACTTACTTGTGAGGATAGTTTTGCGCATGCACTGCTGTTCCACTGACCCACGTGCCTTCCCTGCTTTGGTGTACGGTGTTTCAAAAACAAACCGATTGATGTTGTTTGAGCGTTCAAATTCAGTCTTCCTGCTCTCCAAATCTTTTTCATCAAAGTAAGGTTTCACAAATGTTACCTGAATGTATGCAATCTTCTCGTTTAGCTTTGATTGGTCAACCTTGGAGAAAAATCAAATATAAAATCTTTAACAAATGTTAAAATAGGCTCCCAGCAGGATCGTGTGTCTACTGCATAAGGTTTTTTTTGGGCTACTTTTAACTCATCCATGCTGTCTGTTTTGTCAATTCACTTGACTATTAACTAACTGTATAAGTATACTAGATTGTTTGAGATGTCTTACCTAGCAGCTTTCTGTGTTGGCAATACAATTGATAACTTACTGTAAACTGAGAAAGGTGTTATCTAGTATGACATCATATTTCGTGGACTTGCTATTCATTTTTATCTTTAGCTCATGGAGTCATGACTCACCCCATCATTCCTCTATACCGGATTTACTCTCAAACGTTTAATCGGATTTATTCTTACAAGGTCAAGTGCCAGACCATAAAATATTGTCTACTTGTCCCCCACCCCAAGGGGCAGTAGACAAAATGAGCATATTTAATTGTTGGCATAAATACAAGTGGCTATTATTGAGCGAATACTACTGTATTCAGACCACTAAAACAATACAGTTTCATCACTGATGACATCGGATTGCCATCAGATCATATTTGTTTTGTAGACTAATTCGCTAACTTCATTTCAATCAATCTTCAAATTCACCCCTTAAGCACTACAGGATGTCGAGACAAATATAAAAAGTGAGGATACATACCTTAACAGAGTCTCGTATCAACTCAACATTACCTCCACCAAACTTGCTCTCACAGAGTGTAAAAAGTCGTTGTGAAATGTCCACCAGACCAGTGACTTTAGGCTCTTTGTAAATGTATTGTTTACCATCATCAGAACCAAAATACTAAATGAAATAATGTCAATAGTTATCTGTCTTCTTTTAATTAGTTTGTAATAAACAAAGTCAGTTTGCAAGGCTTTCAGATAAGTATATTTTTGTATGTGAGTAAAAAATCATGATTTGATAAATAAGAGCATACCATTGGTCCAAAGAAAGCAACTCTATAGTAATTTCCTAGCCACCTCTTTTGTGACATCATCACCTTCAAGACTGTTTGGTAAGCCTGGTGCACGTGGCCATATGCTGCTGCCAGGCCCTGTAATAGACAAAACAGATGACACTTTTAAATACTTTATACCTAGCAAATTTACCGTCTACCTATTTCTAAGCATGTTAAAGTTTTTGCATAGTTGGTTTTAAAGTTTGATTCAGTTCAATTTTTATTTTTGCTACTTTGTTGTATTTAAAAATAAAAATTCTTGTCATAATATCATTTAATAAAACAGAATAAAAAACAAACAAACAGAAAAGACTGATAAAAAAAAAGTGATAGGGATATGCATGACGATGCTTGACTTACAGTGAAGTCCCGCTGCTGTTCATAATATGGAATGGCCAACTTATACACCTCTCCTATCAACTCAAACCTTTCTGCTTTGTCTAATGCACCAGCTATCTTTTCCAACTGCTCTACAAAGTGTTCCTGTAGATTATATAAAATAAAGGCATAGTAAAAATGATACACTACCATGAAAGAGTGTGATGCTGTTGTAAACATTGTGGTTCCAGCCCAAGACCATTGATTTTCCTGTACTCTACAGAATACATAATGGTTAGCGGTTTGGTGCAAGTGGTAAGAATTCTCAAACCTAATGGTCAGGGTTTCAATCCTTTGTTCTTGAGTCACTTATATTGCTTTAGTCTAAAGTATCAATGGGTACCAGCAAATTGCTGGGAGTAACTTGTGTAGGACCAGCGTCCCACCCAGGGGGAAGCGTCACACTCTTATTCACTTTCCCCTACTTGAAACTGGGGATAAGCTGCAGCCACTATGAGCCCTTTGGCTTGGCAAAAACATATATATATATATACTGTAGTATACTGTATGTTAGGTGTGAATGATTTAAAAAAAAATATATACTTAGACTGACATTAAGAATACAGGTTAATAAAAGTATGTGTTTACCTCAGTATATTGTACATCCTGCATACCACCATCATCTTTGACACCCTTTTCATCCTCCTCCACGTTGGCAGAGATTGTTTTGAACACGGAGCAACCTTTTGGGTACACCCCTTTACGTTTCAAATACTCCGCTAGAATTGCAGCGATGTGGATGTAACAGAAAGCAGCCTAAGAGGAAGAAGATGAATAAAATAATATAATAAAAACCTAATCCACACATGTTGAATTTAAACCCTGTTAAATGAAAACATTGTTTTCGTACAATTAAACAATCCCTCAATTCTGCCTTCCCAAACCAATCATCATGACTTTCTTTGTCCTTTCTACCTTACTTGCTAAGTCTTTCATACTCCACATTAACTTGACCCCTTACTTAAAAGTAAGGATGTTCCAAGCATTCTGAGCAACGAACAACCAATCATCCCCTTACTAAGTCACTCAACAGTGTCTAGAGTGTACTGTATATTATGATAAGGTAAGAGAGACGGGCAATTCAGCATGTAACATGAGAGTCTCAAGCATGAGCATGGGTTTCATTCCCTCACTGTGCATTTCGCTTGTCCTTGAGCAAGGTACTTTATCTGCATTGCTTCTCTCGACCCAGGAGTATAACTGGGTACCTGGTGGGGTTGCCTGCTACTGTGCCAATATGGCAGCAACACTGAAGCATGAGGACCCAATGACCAGGGAAAACAAAGCGCTTTGTAACCTAAAGGAATAGACGCTATATAAATACTAAAATAACAATATACGGGGCATTGCAGAGTCACATCATCTAATAAGAGAGATTATAGTTGGATATGAAAGAAATAAAACACAAAAATTATTTTGTACCTCAGAATAGTTGCCATGTTTGTTGTGCGTTTCTGCCATGCTTTCCAGCCAGGTTCTGCGCAGCTCTGGCGTACTGGAGTAAGATCTTGCCAAACTGTATTGCAGATCCACATACATCTCAGGATCATTCTCATGCTCTTTCATTTGTGCAGTCGCCATCAGAACCGTCCTAATCTTTTTGGTAAGGTCACGAACTTGTGATGGAAAGTGAGAATTCTGTGGAGAGAGGGAGAATAAAATATCTTCAAAATTTAATTAATAGCTATTTCCATGATATGAAGACAAAAATTATATTAAAATTCCAGAAATAAATTAAGCTTTCAATCCATTCAGGCTGAAGACGTTGACATTCAGTTTATTATGTTTTATCAAGTATTAAATGTAGTTATTTTTATTTTAAATTTATTCACATTTGACAGACACACACATACCTGCATTCCCTTGTCGTTGTTGGCATAGTTGTTAACAATCGCCAACGACTCTTGGAATCTTGCGCTGTCAGCATCAGAAATAAGTTTTGATACGGCAATTATTACCTGTAATGTGAAATAATAAAACATTTTTATATGGTTTTATTACAGAACGGGAAAAACAGAAATACAAAAAATTTAAAATAATATCTTATACGTTGTATATTGTCAAAGGAATCACAAATTTGTAGTGTCATAATGGACAATGTTATCTTATCTTTATTTTTGCAAAATTAAAACTGACCTGTAGATGAACTCTGACAAATTCTTTGCGTCCTGTGAACTCAAAATTGCTCCTCATCAGAAGGTAGAGCAGTGCACATGATTCGTTACGTGTTGATGGAAAACGCGAGTTGCAACACTTCAGGACTTCCACGCATAAATCGCCAACAAGCGTTGAGCTTCCCTTGAACATAGCTGCTTGGAACTAATTAATAGAAAAAATGATTTTCCGTATAAGGAAAAAACCTTAAAATCAGGTATACTACAGAATTATAATATTTTTCCATATTTAAAAAGAAAATAATTACCTTATTTACTAATGCCCGCAAGGATGCAAATGTGTACTTGTAGAGCAATTCTGATTGGCCAAACTGCAGGATTGTGATGAAGATCTCCTTCACTTTCATCATTAATGGGTTGTCACCATCATTGGCATCAAGTTGGTTCTGGTAGGAAATAAATAATTACAAATATATGATTATATATAGTAACAATGGTAATAAAAACAACACTTATTAAAAACAATAAATATTAATAATGAAAAATAAACAAGTAATAATAATAAGAAAAGGTGCATTCTGTACTATGATCCAATAAAAATGACAGCAAAAGAGAATGTTTCTAGTTTCATAGTTCCTGAACTTCAAGCAATATAGTTCATAGTTCATGACCTTACCTTTAAGTTCATGCACCCTAAATTTAATGTAATACGGTTCATAGTTCATGACCTTACATTTAAGTTCATGACCTTACATTTAAGTTCATGCAATACAGTTCATAGTTCATGACCTTACCTTGAAGTTCATGAGGTATTGTCCAAGGATATCCAGTACGATGAGTCCAACTTCATGTGACATGTTTGCTTCGAGAATTGCACGTTGGTTTGCTTCAGTGTCAGACAACGGTAGTGACAATGCTACATAATAACAATAACAAGAGCAATTAACTGTTGGTAAATTCTGTATGTAGCTGAAATGTATGTTTATTTTGTTATCTTTTTATGTGTGATTTTTGTGATTTCCCTTGCTGTTTGTCTCTTGTGTGAATTTAGTATTTCTATCTTTACAAGTGTGTTTTTAGTAACTTTTTAATGTGAAACCTTTGTAAATTGACACAGTTCAACGATTTTATGTTGCCACGTCAATGTTTTTGAATAAACCAGAAATGAATGAATGAATGAAAAAAGGAACAACAATAATAAAGTATTATTCTTAATACCAGTAATAGCAAGCATTCCATTGCTTGTTGGTGGAGCTGTTTTAGTCTTGAAAATAAATCCACTCCAAACCAATGGGATAAACTTTTGATCTTTAAATTTTATTGATTAAAACATGTTATTGTCATCTAAATCAAAACATTTTATAAACAAAACTTTCTGAATATGGCTTAAGAGTAAAGTTAATTTTGATATTTGCTAAATTTGAACCATAAAACAAGCTATAGCCCACTTTTTAAAAATTAGATGACTGAAAAACAATAAAATGAATTGATATATACTCTTTAATAAGACAATCTCATGATACTTACAACTGCTCATGTCAATTGCGGCCACTGATCTTGTCACAAGAGGGCGCTGCCTTGCGGCAGGTAACGTCTTGCTTTTTTCTTCATTCCAACTAGATTTTTCACGAAGTCTAAAATATGAATGAAAGATGCTAATTTTAGTTAAACTCACAATAATTCACTTGTATATTTATTCAAGTGAATTATGGAATATAAAAACAATTGGTGATGTCCATGTTTACATTTAGTTGTTTTGTAGAATGCAATACAGGCACTTTAATGACATGAGATTGGACATGGTGGTGGCTCCAAAAATATGCTGACTGGGTGTCCAACATGTCCAAGAGGGGGATCCAAATTAAGCGGCTGCCTACAGTTTTGGTCAGGGTATCAGAATAAAATCTGTTTTAAGGGTCAAAAGGAAGAGATTTGACTGAAATTGTGATTTTGGACCATAACAATCAAGACTGTAGTCAAATTAACTTTGTTTTGGATAAGAAAAACAATTTTCCTGTGACCCCTGTTGTCACTGATGGGCCAGTCTGATCAAATCAGTAAAGCACACATGAATTTAGTAATTTAAAGAAAGTAAAATACATGAGAATGATGTGAGAAACAATCAATTCAAAGACACACATAAAGATGAAAGTACAGTAGTAGATTAGGAGACAAAAATTTACACAAATTTAACAACAAAATATGTGTGTGCCAGTGGTAGGCAATGTGACAATACTGACACTCAAGAACAAGAACCATAAAGCATATTAAAAATATGAAACATTTTTAAAAGATTAATAACTGTGTGTTTCAAGAGATACAATATGTATGAAAAAGATAGGAGGGGATTGAGAAGGTAGGTGACATGAGCATAGAAGGAAGAGATTGCAGCAATAAAAGATACAAGATATTTATTTTTCTGGTGGTACCAGACTTAAGGCATTTAAAGTGTTTATTGGTATCACCAGACATAAATGCATTGCTTGTCTACTGTATGCTTTTATTTTGTATCATTACTATTCAATGCATTATGTGAATAAACTTAATTGAATGTAGGGTAGGGAGGAGAGATGGAAAAGTGTAGTGGACAAAAGAGAGGGTAGAGGAGAGAATAGAGGCAAAAACCTAGAGTGTGTGTAGAGTAAACTGTACGTTAGAGAATGTTGAGTATAGAGGGGATTGGGAGAAAATGGAGGGGAGAGAATAAAGTGTATGATGAGAGAAGATAAGGCAGATGGTGGATCGAAGAGATGGGAAAAGGACAGAGGGACGTGTAAAGAGTAAAAAGAAAGCTGGGAGTAAATGGGTCCTCCCTAATATTGATGTATTTGAGTTTTTTGTGGACAGTGACTTCTGAATACAGTATATGATACATTGTTTTGATGATTTTTATGTTTCTCCCCTTCTGTTTCATACAGGTAGATCATGAATATATTTTTTGTTTCCACAACACGTTTGTATTTACAATACTGCTTCAACCGTATATAATAATTAAATAAAGATAAGACTTGAATATTGAAAACAGTGCAAACTTTGAAGAAATATTTCCAATTTCATTCGTATCCTAACAGCGAGTAGCTGACCAATTATGTTTAGTCGTGAGAAAAAGTCCTGCTGTTACAGGAGTTGATCCCAGGACCCAGCGATTAATCACTAGGCTATTCAACTTCACTTAGCCTCAACTTAATAGGACATTGACTATTCTTTCATATAACGAGGACCCACGATGAGTTCACCCAAAGTATCAAGATTCTGCCGGAAGTCAGTATAGTTTCCCATAATCTTGAAAGCAAGCAAAATTCTCCTTAAAAACCCCCATCTCTCGCAATTTCAAAATACAGGAAGATTAGCTTATCTTATTTTGCATTTCTAATTGCCTCCCTCAATTCAGCTTTTCATGGACATTACCAGGTGCATCAAAATACAATGTGTTAAAAAGCTCATTAAAAACCAAAATCTAGCTGAAGTGGCACCCTCTCCACCCCCCACCCCCTTACCACCAACTTGGAAGCCCCCAATTGAAAATATATTTAGAAAAGCTTAGTGATACACAATTACAATCAATGTTAAAAACAGAAATTTGCACAGCACACTAGTCAGGTCACAAGTTAGTCAAAGACAAAAATGCTTCTTTGAAAATTTTTACAACCTATCATAGCCATGCATTTTATAAGCAACAAGACAAGTTAATGGTAATGATTTGATTATGTTTATCGAAAAAGCAAGAGCAAAATGGTTGATAACTTTCTAAGAAAAATGTTTAATGATTTCAAGGTCCATGTATATATTATAAAACTGTCACTTAAATTGAGATATAGTCCCCAGTTAAACAATTACACATTTTATACCTTTTCACAGAGCTATTGTATACCTAAATAAAAAGCCTATAGGCCTATTTATATTATTATAGGTGTTCTAGCATCGATCAAGGCAAACAGCAAACTCTATATTTACGTACAATTCCAACATTTACATTTGTATCACACGATGCTGGGGACTTCCCAACCAGAAGTCCCTAGCTATACATCTGCATAGGGAGAACCATTACTCTAAATGGATCGGTGTACAGACTATCCCTATAATGTATGTAATGTACGTATATAGGCTTATTATGTTACGTTTTATTTATAGTATATTTGTTTTAACCTTGGAAAAAGTACCATATGAACCAGCATCATTACCTGTGAACCTTGAATAAAACCTAATTATAATGTTAGAATTAAACATTGTTTGAGGATGATCGACTGACTGATTTTCGTATAATTAGTGAAGCTGCTTCCCCAGGCCAAGGGTAACTAATCCATAATGTATTATGCAATAAATTTTAAAAAATGTCTTAATATAAAAATTAAAGGGTGCATACGACTCAGTCTCATAGCTCAGTGATGTATTGAAATAGCAGACAGAAGGTCTTAAGTTTACAGCCTGATGGAAATATATCTTTAATTAATCTTTAATCAATTTTCTATAGTTTTTTTGGATTAGGACTGTTAAAATATTATTTAACAATACATGTGCAGCAATAAAAAGCCAAATCAATCGACAAATAGCACAAGACACAGATATTCAAAGTTTATGGAGTATTCTTTGAAACCACAGTGGTATATTTGTCACAAAAACCAAACAGGCATATTCTGTGGTTATTGGCATTTTTAGTAATACAGAGATGTGTATAAGAGACAGATATATATATATCTCAAGAATTTTTACTCCAAAAACTTTTCAGGGAAAATACTTTCAGTTAGTGTTATTTGTTCAGACAAGTATAAGAAAGCAAACAACATTTAAACTTGGTGCTGATCTGATTAAATGCAGATCTTAAAAAAAGCTTACCATTGAATGGGGAGGGAATTGTCAGGGTGGGTGATAAAATCATAGAAGAAAATTTAAAGAAAGGTGATTCAATTAAAAATATTATTGTGCAAATACAATATAAAATAAGAAATTATGAGAAGTGCATCAACATAAAATATTTATTAATCTGGTGAGAAAATATATTATTAATGTTTAGGCCTTTAAAATTCATTTGAGAATAAAAAGAAATGCTGTCTGTAATATTACCGTAAATGTTCCAATATGTGCCACTCTCTTATAATTATCCTTTTTAATTAATCGTTATGGCATTTAATCAAGAGTATGTAATATGCTTTGATGTTTTGTATCAAGATAAAAATGAAATGGAGTAAGTAATTGCTCACAGGTTATGCAATACTAATGTTACAATAATATTTAAGCATTATAACAATTCGTATTAAGCACCGCTCTCGGTTAAGTGTTATATTAAAGCCTCCAATTATTTTTATAATTGCTGCAGCATTTATTGGAACATTTAGGTATCAAATAATTTATTAGCTTTGGCTGAGACACATGTAGGAACAATTTGGTTTTCATATTATTTTACTACAAAAGTAAAAAATATATAGCAACTGTATTATTTTTTCAAATGTTAACTGGTTTCAATAGAATTGCTACACACTATCGCTGATGCTTCGGTGATGCTGATTGGTCAGTCGAATCAGGAAGCCTTCAAGATTGCGTCGGGGACTGCTAAGCAGTACAACGATTACACTGAAAACACTGTAGTGATTTTATGGAAACCAGGCTTCAGTGGAAAAGATAATATCTTATAATATTTTATTTCTTACTTCAAAGCTAATAACTTACTTAATGTTGCTTAGCACAGACAGTTTATCTTTGAAATAATGTAGGTTGCAGAAACTTTTATATTAACAATTTCATGAACTTTTATTCTTATTTATAAAATGACACAATAATAATGAATATTAGAAAGTAAAGACTTTGACTTAATAAACATCATCTTAGACATGTACATTATTTCCTCAGCAGCTCAAATAAATTACTTAGAAACTAGGCCCTATCTGATAACAATTATCATCCTATAATTATCCAAGCAGTATTGCATATATGGCGGTTGCCATCCCAAATCCAGCATCAGTGACCAACACATGAAGATTGACTTTTAATGTATTCATATTCTCCACATTATAAGCTTCAAAATGATGGGTCATTTACTGGAATTGACTTACTATTGCTAAAATTTATGAGTAAAAGTGTTACAGCTTCTCTGTACTAAAGTATACAATACTGTCACATTCTAATATGCAAATTACTCAGTTTAACAATAAGCAACAGTACACTGGTTTTGGGATGACAGGCCTTATTATGAGATTGATTCTGCACAAGACATTTTTTTGGTTAATTTTTCAATTGCTATGAAAACAAAGTCATCAAGCAGAGATATACAATAGTCACATAAACAATATGATTTCATGTAGCAACAAACAAAACATAACATTCTTTAACAATGCATAGACATGCAAGCCTCTCATGCAAAAAGAAAAAAAATAAACAAATACAAGTACAGTATTTTCTTTATGCATGCTGCATTTTTGAATCAAAACTTTTAATTATAATAAATTGAATTAAAATGTTAAAATGTGTGTTAGCTATGTTTCTAAATTCAATTCAAATTTTCCATTTAATGGCTTACACCCAATTATAAATTATTAACTTTGTAAATTATGCAAATAATATGCTAATTATGCAAATTAACATGCAAATAAGAGCAGAGTTCATGCTAATACTCCCTACGTTGTGTATGAATGGCCAGCAAAGCAGCTTTTATGCAATTTTCTGGTGAATGGCCTGGCAATGATAGCAAGCATATGGTTACATGACAGCTTGAATTAGCATATTTTGAATATATAATAAGGCAAATATTATCAACACTTTCAAGTGCTGCATTTAAGCAATGCTAGCAGAGACCATGATGGGAGTTACAACCACAGATCACAGAGTTACAAGAGCACTAATGAAATTAGGCAACAGAGAAATTATCAACATAAAGCAGACATTTGGCCAATAGAACCAATGTATTATTTAATGGATGGATATTATAATAAGAATAATTTATAGAGCGCTCTTTAAAACTGGTGTCTCACAGCGTAATAAGACCATAAATCCATTGGAACAAGTGAATATTAAGGAAAGACTCGAATTGGTGGAGAGATAACATAATCAAATATTTATAATGCACCAATTTCAAAAATGCAGTTACCAAATGAATTTGAATTAAATTAATTTAATTTAATTAAATCTATTAATAAATTTTTGAATACTGGGGAGTCCATTCAAAGGAAAGAGACAGAAAATAAAAAAAGAGCGTTTTCCCTTGGTGTTTGTATGGAATGGGTGGACTGCAAGCAATGAATTTTTAACAGAGCAGAATCAAAAATTGAACTTCACATAGATACATTTTGAGAATTCAAACTTTCATCCTCATAATCTCATTTCAAAGCAAAAGCAAATATAATTTAGCACTCCCAAAAAAAACTTCAAATTTGGAAATCAAGCATTTAAATACAAAGACGAATACTTCAGTATTCTTATAGAACTGTGTGGTTATTGTGCAAATGCTGCAAAAAAAAAGTTCTATGGATTTTTGCAATTTAATAACTCTAGTAATCGTATAACTCTATGGCTTAAACTCTTTTACTCTTATTGATGAACAGCTTGTACCATTAATAGCAAGTTAATTAATTGTTAAGTATTAAAAATTAAATTAATATTTGCAATAGTTGGTTGTCTACTATTATGCTCACAAGACAATGATATCAATATAAACAAATAATTTAACAATAAAAAATGGAAAGAGGAAATATTTTAAGCATTAGGCAAGAACACATAAAAACTCACCAAGTTACACAAGATTTGAATGTTGCAAATTAATTTGTGTTTACATATTCATAGATAATTAATCTCTTTTTATAAGTTATTTACACCAAATATTAACATTTGTTGACAATAGATTGGCCTAACCTCAGGTTTTACACCTTAGATGTAATTAATTTTTGTTACCTATTTAATAATTGATGGAGAGATTGATTAATATTATGTAAAGATAGTAAACAATACCTTGCTGATATAATCTGCTTCTTTCCAATGTACCTAAAATGGAATAAGCATGTCCTATAGAGGAAAAAAGAAAATATATATTCTATAGATGTGAAAGAACAACACACTGTATTTAGAACTACAGAGCATCTTAAAATTTGAGACCTCTCTAATTCTGAGGCCATTCTAATTTGAGACCACTTTTTCAAAGTACCAACTAACAATCTTCCAACCTTTCAAAACAAAGACCAAACCCTGTGACCACCCAACATTTTAAGGTCTGAAAGTTGGTCTAAGTTAGAGGAACTGTATTACTAAAAATGCCAAAACACATTTCAATAGGAATTTGTGAATAATTAAAATATTTCACAATTCTTTCATAATATTTATTATACATACTTCCATAAATTTGCAATTATACTTTTTTAAAGTGTATGTTCTGGTTTGTGTAGCAATCACAACTTAGGAAATACAATGCAATCTTGTATGAAATGTTAATTAAATTATAAAGTCAATGGTCATATATTTATATAGCGCCTTCCGCAGAAAACCGTATCAAGGTGCTTTTGAAGCCACAAGAAACAACGACAAAAGAACGCGGGGGGGGGGGGAGTGTGCACCCCCAATATTGAGATAACGTTGCCATCACTACCGTGTACACGCAGGTACCTCGGCGTCAGTTTGCTGGGCTCTGGTAGCTTCCATCAAGAATAAGCCTATGGCTCCCCTACTGTGCACTGCTTAGCTGGCAGTGCTACCTCAAGTAAGGAAGTGCAACTTTTCAGGGGAAAAATCAATATATATATATCAATGAACACTGACTGCGAAAGAGTTTACTAACGTCATCATTAAGTCAAAGTTACCATATTATGATTTAACTTACATCATTAGGTCAAAGAACTGAAGAGTGTCATCCTCTGAAGCCTGTGCCCACCAACCAAGCATAACCTCTGGAAGAAAAATTACAATAACAATATTAACAATTATGGCAATTATGTAGCTGTGGTATGGCAAAAACTACAGTTCATTTTTTAAGTCATTTACTGTAGTTCTTATGAACAAAATGTGATTCTTATAAAATAGTCTTAAAACTAAGACAGTCCACCATTTATATTACCAGCATTAATTACCAATTTCTAACACACACAATGTTACACCTACTATTTAACACTTAATAATAATATAGAATATACATTAATCAAATATATTTTAAAAATTATCTACGTTATTGTCCTTATAATATAGAATACTTATTAATCAATTTTCATTATTATCTATATACATATAATTTTACCTTTGTTAATATCATTATAATATAGAATATAAAATATTTCAGAAAGGTTCAATAATAAAATAATTAACACTAAAGTTTAAATAATAATAATATAAAATATATAAAAAAATATTTCACAATATCTATATAATAGTTTACCTTCGTTGACGTCCTTCACAATAGTAAGGAGGCAGATGAGTAGATCCTTAATTTCAGTTTCTGCCAATCGATCAAACATCACAACAGACTTGTTCCTCAAGCTCCCCTTCAAGCTGTCATCTTTGTGGTTGTCGGGGAAGGGGGCAACCGACCCGTTGGTAGCGGTGCTACTCAACGAGTTGCTCGAGTTACTATGATTCCTGTCGAGCTTAGATGGTAAATTTGGAGTTCCTGGAAATTTTCAAATTCAAAGATTAAAATCTTGTTTTCTAGTTTTAATGCATAGATATCAGTTAAAATGTTTACTTTATTATTTTATTATTTTTAAACAATGTAGTGTTGAAATAACATTTCTTCATACAGATCTCCCTTTAATTTAAGACCACTTTAAGGACCAAGGTGTTCATGGTCTCAAGCAACTTTGGTCTTTAGTTAAAAAAATAATCATTAAAAATATAAAAGTTAGGTGCTCATCTGGGGCCACAGAAAAAAAGTATGTAATTGGAGAGGTTTTTAAATTAGAGGGAAAACTGTATTTGCTTACATAAGATTGAACATAAACTTATGCAAACAATTAAACTAAATTAAAATTTGAATATTATATAGATGAAATCAATTTCAAATACTTTTAGTAGTATGGTAATTGTATTGAAAATAAGTTAATTTGCATATAATTTGCATGTATAAATAAAAAATGCAGGATTTGATCACTATAGATATGCAAATTTATTGCCCAACATGTTATATGCAAATATACACACCAACAGGTTATGCTATACATTAATATGTAAAAGCTAGAAACCATTATGTTATATACCATTATATTATTAGTTGTGCATCACCTACATAATTCCCAACATGCAGAATGATATATAAAGTTATGTTTACCGTACTTAGGGATCATCCATTATTTTCACAACTGTAAAACATACATGGGGTGGGGGGGGGAGTTACTTTCATGAAAAACATTAAATGATGATCTCAGAATAAAAACAGTCATCATTTTATTGTGTAATCTATCAGGCTGGAGGATAGGAGTATGTTTGCAAAAGTATGTTTTGTATTCTTTTGAAAATGTTGAAAAAAATGGATGACCCTCTATTTGTTAGATTGGTAGATAATTATTTTTATCCACAAAGACATATATATAAAAGCAAAAAGAAAAAGGACTGTTCTAGGGGAGGAGTTCTTGTTGGGATAGAACAATTTAAAGCAAATGGTTTTGGTTTATATGCTAGTAATTACTAGCATATAAACCAAAACCATTTATATGCTAGTAATTACTACAAAGTAGGGATGTGTTCTGCTAGAAGAGGGATTGTGTTGGTAAATGTGAATGGTTTAAGCTATATACTTGCAATTACTACAAAGACACATCAAACATATATGCAGTGGTGGCACCAGCAAGGGACCCCCCCCCCAGGGAGCAGGGAGGGTCAATTTGGATATAGGACCCTTAGACTTGAAGGCAAATATCTTAACCACCTAGACACAACTCTACTCTCTGATTTTTAGGCACCTACACCACTTTGTAAAATAGTAGAGGATTACTAAAAGTATCTAAAAAAAATAATAGATCATACATAACATCGCACCAAAAAATTGTTAATAGCAGCAAGCAGTTTCATCAAATAAACTACTCTAAAAAAAAATTAAAAATTTAATCTAAAGCAAACTACAAACTATTCTTAATTTGCTAAGTGTTATGAAAGGCTAATGAAACACTGTTGAGAGATAGATGTCTACAACTTCAAAGGTAAATTCAAGTACCAAATTAGTTTTAAAGAGATCTAAAGCTACTCAAAGAATTTGCATGAAATGGAACAGTTTCTCAGACGTAAATAGAGTTTATGAATATTTATTCCACATCAAACTAAAGCAAGAAAATATTTAAAATGATTTTGTAGATTGTATAAGGAGCAAGCTTTATTAATAAACTATATTTTTGTATTTTATTAGTTTATTGCAATAAGACCACAGCACATCAATGTAAGTTTTGATGATTTTTCACAACAGTGTTCATGACAAACCTGATAATCTAAAAGCTGCTTTTGTTGTTTTTTCTGAGACAGAAACATCCTGAAGGTTAATTAAATTTTCCTGAGAATAATAGACTATACTGTCTTTGATCGGATTGCTTGGGTTTGATATAATAGGGGTGAAGCTTGCTCTGTCTGAAAAAAACATTGATATCAATCTTTAATACAGTGGGTCCTACCATTAAGGTTCAACTGATAACTACACTGCATGGCCAGGGTCAAAGATAAGAGGAGGGGTTTGGTGCAGTGCTTGCGATTCTGGCAATTTATCAATCTCAGCTTAGCAAATGACTTAAGTAAAAAAAAAGTTAAGATGTCCCTAAGCAAATATCTTAAGCTGATTTATCAAACCATCTTAGAAAATCTTAGCTTAAATATCGTCTTAGATGGCGAACGCATACAATCAACTTTTTAATTTTAAGCATTTTTTAAGTTAAGCAATATTGATAAACTTGACTGAAGCAAAAAATAAACGTAAAGCCTTTTTTCACTATGCAAATGTATTCGTGTGAACCAAAAGCGTTGGTTCATGCGAATGTGCATCCACATTTTTTGCTTCAATAAAATCAGTAGTTCGAACTGTTTCTACTTTTTGAGAAGCGTTAAAATGCGCAACCAATCAGTGCTCAGGAAGCGAACCGATGCTTTTGATTCGCGGAAATGCGCCTAGTGGAAAACAAACTTAAGACGAATTTAAGTTGATTTCTAGTTTCATAAATCCGGCACCTGCTTCTCAACGCTGTATATTTTGCTTCTGTCCTTGGGCAAGGCACTTTACCTATGGTTGTCTCTTCACCCAGGAGTACAAATAGGTATCAGGTAGGTTCAAACACAATATGCGCTGATTACAGCTGCAATATTACGGAATCCTTCGCAGGGGCATTCCTGATGACATAATTAATGTCGAAATATTGAATCCCGACACGATGGCGTGCATTTCGATACTTGGAGTACGTATTATGCTATTAAGCACTTTGCACTCAAAGAAAAAAAGTATAATACACGATCCAGTGATGCTCTTAAGGTCAAAAAACCCAACACTACCTATAAGGAGAAAAGTTTCAGTCACCATGGTGCTAAGTTATGGAACAATCTTACAGATGATGTAAGAACTGCACCAAATGTCAGAACCTTCAAAAAGCTTTTGTAAACTAAAATTAACAAGTGTTACTGGTGCATGTTCTTTGAACCATTGTATTTTGTAAATTGTGTATTTCACCTGTATTCTTTTCCTTTTATCGTTTTTTATATTGTTATAATGGCATCACAGCGTTGTTGAAAAACACCCTTGGGTGATACAAGCTTCCGTGTGTAAATAAAGATTTTTTTTATTATCTTATTTGAGCTGAGTATGTGTTCCATATGCATTTGATCCAACGACCGGGGGTAATAATGCGAAGCACTTAGAGACCTTGTTGGCATGAAGCACTATGCAAGTCTAACATATTAATTTACTAATATTAATAATCAGAATCAAAATCAAATTTACAAGGGAAACCTGTAATACATAAGAACCTCAAAAGATATAAAAAAATATAATAATATGCTTTACACGTCTTATAGAAGAGGAGTATTAGTAACTAAAATAATCAATTGTGGTAAACAAAAAAATATTACAAATCAAAATTTATAAAATAACTTTCAATTTCAACAAAAGAAAATATTTGCTACCATGATTTTTGCGAATGGCCAAATACTTCATGAGAAAATATTCTATTTGTGTTTAGATCTAAAAGTCCAAATAAAAATTTCCTCTGGAACACCAACACTAATTATTCAATTATTTTTATCAATAATTAAAATAAATTTTTTTGAAATTATATAATTGTTAAAAAATGCTAACCAGTTTGATCATGCAATGCAATATCATATTATTAGCAGTCAATATTAAAAATGCTCTTAATTTTAAGGGTTGACTCTTATTGTTTATTATATGAATACTTGTAAAGCGCTGTGTCATTTGTCTACAGCACTTTTTTTCCACATGCAGTACTTACTCATTGCTATTAGTATATCATGCAAGTTTAAATTTACAACTACATTTGTGCTATATACCAAACATTTGATATATCCTATATGATTACATTGGTGAAGTGAAATCAATAACTAGATGCTATCATGAAACGTTTGGAAGCTGTTATCAGGTGAAAATTACAAAAAAAAAAATTTAGCTTTAAAGGAATTTGTTTTGAGCATCGAACCTGGAAGACTCCACGATAACCTATATTTAGATTTTTCACTTTGAGACCTAGACTTCTTCTCTACACCGTTGTTATTCAGCCCTATAGGGAATGTAAATTGAAGACAATAAGTATAGCTAAAGGTTTTCCAAAACTTTGGATGACAAAGATAAAAAAAAGGAACATTCATTTGGTAAATTAATGTTCTGAACAGTTTTCAATACTAAATGAAATATATCAAATTGTCAGATTAGAAATCAAACATGTTCTTAGCATCATTGAAACACAGCTGTGAAAAGTGAATTAAAACAAGAAATATAATATAAAAAGCAGATACACATCTCAAATTATATACTGAAAATATTCAGTAGTGAATCTGCAAAAAGTCATATATAAATATAATTGATTGGGAATTGAAGTTCAATATTCATTTAAAAAGTATGATTAGGTGCAGAGTTGCTACCCATGAAATTTCCAACAAAGAATATAAAATGTCTTGGGCGAGGTGGAGGGTTTGAGTAATGTGGCAGTTAATAGACAAATGCAGTACGCTCAACATCAACACCTCTGTCCAAACTCAAATGCTGGTTATGTTAGGATCACAGGAAATGAATATCCATCAATGTTTTATTGACTAATTGATTGATTGATTAACTGATTGAATGATTGATAGATTTGGCAACAAATTAAAGAATTTATTAAGTAACTGGTTAACTGGTTGATTAAATGAATGATTAAATAACTATGTTAATGATTGATTGATTGATTAATTAATTTATTGGATAATTGATCTTGATAACAAATTCATCTGTTAAGTAATTAAATACATAACTGGTTAAATGATTGATGAAATGAATGATGACTGATTAACTAATTAGTTAACTGATTGATTGGTAGATTTAATAATTGATTATTTGGTTGATGAAATGCAGTATTTATGACGGGATCCAGTCTATAAAATTCATCATCTTTATGATGACATCATCACCAATATCATCACCTCCATTATAATTCTAATGATCACGATCATCATGATCATTATCATTGGCTTGTGCTGGAATCTTCCAAAATTCGGAGGATTGTTTTTCTGATGCACAATACCTAGTATACTGTCATTATAACATAAATAAAATAAAATTCTTTACAAAGATTAGTAAACCTATTACCTCAATAAACAAAATCTAGCCGCTACGATTGCCTATGGCCTAGCCTTAACTTATCAGCAAATCAACTAATTCAGGTGGATTATATTACTGTTTGAGTATAATACGAGAAGCCATTCAGAAAATATATAAAATTATATTCATATGAAGATGACATAACTGTTATTTGGTCACAAATAAAGTCTATTAATCTAAAATGCCAATCAATGTCAAAATCTTCATCAATATCAAAATATATTATTTATAAATATGAGTGAAGTGCATAAACTTAATATTACTGAAAAAATATAATATAAAGGGTCATCCATTTTTCATTCTTGTCAATAGAGTACTAAAAAAAATGTTTTTCTGTAACCACCTTACCTCTCCCAAAAAAAGTACATAATACAATGATGAATGTATGAATAACTTTTGAGATCAAAATTTTTTTCATTTCCATGAAGGAGTACACACATCATTAACCATCTCTCCCCCTAGTACAGTATATTTTTTGTACTCTTGTGAAAATTATGAAAATAAATGGATGTCCCTTTAAATGAATGATTGTTCCAATGTAGACAAATGCATCAAACACAATAGCACATCACAACAAGCTGCGTAAATGAAGAGGCAACAAATTAACAATGCAATACTTGAATAGCCACAATCATAGACAACTAGGATGACTTAAACTACAAAACATTCCAAATATTACCAATGCATTATACTCTTAATCAATTGGTGAAGAAAAACACTGTTTTCACTACAAAAGCTATGAACCCCCACTGGCTAAATGTTTAACACGCCCAGAAATATTCATCTGCATATTCTATTTGCCAGGACCATGGACTTCAGTCAATCAACAGGCCAGTTAATGAGGAGAATATGTCAAAAAGCCATCAAAATACTTATTTACATCCACCACGCTGGAATAAATTGAGACTTTGTCTTGTAACGCACTGGGGCCTTACGTGGTTAAGTGCACTAAGGCCCAAAGAAATTTTAGCATAAATTGCATGGCTGGCTTTTTCAACAATTATAACCAACAATTTGTTTCATTCTCAATAAACTGTATCATGCTTTTGTAGTTTATGTTTTTTTGTTTTCATTGCTTCGGAAATTCCTTAATTTTCATTTTGCATAAATTATATTCTTTCCTATACTTATAAAATTATACTGTTTTTACCGTAATTTGACTGTTGGTAATTCACATTTTTCTGAATATTTTTATGTCTTCACCAATCGATTAAGAATATATAACTTTAGTGTGACAAAAATCTGAGATGTGACACTCATGCTTCAACCAGCGATCCGAGTGCAGCGATATGCAACAAACAAACAAACCTGAGGAACTCATGCGCCTCAATGCTGGCGAATCAGATGATACGTTCAACACGTTTATGTTCGATAAAGAGTAATGCCGTGATCCTAAATTGGAGGAAAGTTATCTTATGCATAAAAAATTCTACTGAATTCTTATCATGCTGAGCAGTGGCAGATCCAGGAATTTGAAATAGCGGGAAGTCAGATAGGGACTTTGACAGATGGAGGGTCTAGATGACCTTAGTCCCCATCATGGTTGAGGCTGAGAACCTAAGAAAATTTATGATGATGGCACCTCTAGCCTCTAGATGACAGTGAATGGCAGTATCAGATTTTTTTTATATAATTTTCTTTTTCTCCTCCCACCTTTTTTTACAATTGTATAACATTTAGGAGGGGAGAGGGACGGACCCCCTTGAATCCGCCACTGCTGTGTCAGGATGCTATATACATTTCTTATAACATATCTGTTGCTTGTTAACATGACCTAACAATGTCCTTAGGCCAAATAAAAAAAGTTTTTCACTCGGACTTACACAAAATTAAAAGTGAATGTGCATTTTAGTAAACTAACAGATTGATTGTTCAGTGACAGATACAATATATGTGAGACCTTTTGGCGTAGGAGTTGTGTAGAACTTGCAAATTTAGATTTGGGATTTTTTAATCCACACTGTTCATTCACTTGTGTCCTAGGGGGCAAGGCAGTTTAATTATGATATCTACACTAAATAACTGGTATGTATGTGCAGAGTATTATATTAATTAATAATAGTGGGTAAATAATCGAAATATTTAACATTAACAAAGAGTAAGCATCACATCATAATTCAACATTAATGTGAGTTAACACATCGATATTCAAGTAAAAAATATTACACATAGTAATATTAAAAATCAAGTCCACACTAGATATATTTGAGAATTAGACATAAAAAAAGTTTTACAGGATAAGAGAATATTTTCACAAATTTTCACATTTTCAAAAAATTTCTGCTTTGCTGAAAGAGTACAAAATATAATAAACAAATTAAAAGTATAGAATCACAGCACAACCTCACAAAAAATAATACATATCAAATTCAACAGTAAGCAAACCAAAATTTGGAAAACGTAGAACCTGTTTACACTTACAAGGCCCACCTTTGGATTACTACATTACTACAATGCCTCTAAGCCACCACTTAACCAGCCACAATGCCTTTAATTTATGAGGCTAGTACCTTCTGTGCAGTTAGTTCTAAGGCTGGCCTACGGTCGTCTGGGAGGTGCTCCCTCTAACACGGACTTGCATGCGATATTATTATGGTCATGGTATAACTCTATGAAATATCTACAGGATGTTGATCAGGATTGCATAGCATTGAATGTGTAGAAATATCAGTAAATATGTCCAGAAAATTCATGAGTTATGTTACTTTTTGGAACATTTTTGAGTGCATATGTTTAATAGACCTTTACGGAGTGTTAATCAAAATTAACGACTCACCAATCAGAACAGAGCCAGGAATACACGCATGTCTAACAAGTACACATGTTTTCCCATAAACGCACATGTTCGCGTATGTTTAACACTGTCGTTTTGTGGGACCTTTGCAACAATAACCTTAGAAGAACGGTCCATTAAGGATAAGAAAAAAATGGAGCCGTATCATATGGCTGGAAATTGCATTAACATGCTTACTGGGATTTCCGTAAGTGTAAACAGGGCTAAATTAGCAGAAAAACAACTATTAAAAATTTATTTACTCAAAACTTAGAAGTAAGAAAAAAACACAGTTACATTTTGGCCACTATAAAAATGAATAATGATTGGCCAAATAATGTGAAAACTGAACAACATAAAGAAATTATAAAAAGTAAACTTTGGTACACAGACTTAGATACCTGAGGGAGCTGCCATGATATTACTCTGATCTTAGAAACAAAGGGAAGGAAAAAAACATGATATGAAAATCATAATAATGAAGGGAAGAATGATAACACTGGAAAAAAGAAAATTGATCAATGTGATAAGATAATGAAACACTTTGAACATTTAATAATTTTTATAAAAATAAAATGTTAATACATCTTTTTAATGGAGTCTCTAAAACACAATCCACTAAAATGTGTTGGTTACATATATGAAGCATGGGTAAAAACAATTACCAAAAAAAAAAAAAAAAATAGATCACAGCACAACAGAAAAAATTATGATAATAAATATGATTTCTCACAGAAAAAAGCCAGTACTATCAATGAAAAATAATCATTTTGAATACTTTATTTGTCCATCATTATCATAAAATATTACAATAGAAATCTGACAAAATAAGTATAAATTATAAAGATGTACAATACATACCTCTGCCAGCAATGGCATCCAATACAGTTGAGTCACGGTTTAACGACCTTGACTTTGAACTGGACATACTTCCATGGCGCTCATGTTGTGGACCGTCTGGAAGACCGGTGGTGATCTCCGCCATGGAGGCATCTCCATTCAGGTGCTGACCAATAACAGGCGTGCTGGGCACATCTCGGATATTCAGGCGAGGAGCATTTTCCAGGATGATAGACACAAATGGAAGATAGAGGGCACTAATTCTAGCTTTGTGTTGCTGGAAAAATAAATAAAATACAACATTTTTTAATCTGTTAAAATATGGCACAACAACCTTAACGGATCCAATAAAGTAAAACTTGATGTGATAAATTGAACAGCTCTCCTTATTGACAAAACTTGTTAAATTCTGAACATTTGTTACATAAATAATAAAACTATGCCTAGTTTGCCTATAGGAATCTTGTAATAACAATAATAAATTGTTGTTTACCTTAGTAGAGTAGCGATCATCTGTGCTGTGTTTGGCAAGCAGGTTACGTACCACACTGATGCCCATCTGTCGGACATCAGGTCCTTCGTGAAGCGTAGCGCCGACTTCACGTAACAGGATTCCCACCAGGAAATGGTTCTGGCAAAACTCTTCCGTCAAGGCATAATCATACTGCAAATCTTTATCAAGAAATGTATAAACTTTTTAATTTCCAAGCACATATATGCTTCTTTTGTATATCTCTCACCACAGGAAATATTTGGTTCCCAAAATCTTTCCTTTTACTTTTTTCTGCTTGAATAATTAAGGATAGAAGATTTTAAAGGTATTGCAGAAGGGCAATGCAAGTTATTGATGCATTAATTGCAGATCTAATTGGTCAACAGTCAAGAATATGAAGCCAAAGCATTAAAAGTTCAATAAGATATGCAAATTAGTATAATGAATATGCATATGCATATTTCAGCCTCATTAGCATTTTTAACAATGGAACTTCACATTAGAAAAAATTTTAAATTAGAATAAGTTTCTTTTTCATAACAATATCTTAAATAAAAAGCAAAATCCGGAAATAAAAACATTAATAGTATACACAATAGATTCACTTATATCATGGCAGAATAGAGAATAATGCAATTCCAGACTTATGATCACTAGTATTTTAAACATTCATTTTTTTTGTGGAAAATAAAACATATCAATTTCACACAGAAAGGTTTTCAAACAAAAGATGAATCTGTGATGCAAGTATAGATAGCAAAGACTGAAGCATGATGCGAACACAAACCTTTGATGGCGTTCTTACTGCTGCACAACGACACTGCGACAGAAAGTGAGAAAAGAAGTCAGGGCATGCTGTGCTGAACATAAGCAGGCAGATTTTATAATACAAGACAGCATTAAGTTTTATAATTTGTTGATATATGTATGTGAATATAATTTACAAATCAGAGGCCAAACAATTTAAAAAAAATGTTTCTTGTTTTATTTTCCATTTTTTTCCAGTCTTCCATTTTTTTAAGTCTATGCAAGGAAGAACACCCAGAAAATCCGGAAGATAACCTGCATACCTTAGATACATAACTCCGAGTGGGGCCTTTTCATTTAAAGTCAGGCTCTGGAGGAAAAAAATTTTTTGATATGTTGTAGAATTGATTTTTCTAAGAAAGAAAAAAGTTGTTTGACGAAAAACTAAAAACTAGGGGAATAAGGTGTAAAAATGGGCAGTTACGCCCCTTTTTCCCCCAGTTTTTAAATATTAAAAAATCTGTATCTCATTCACCGTTCCCCAGTTTTTCGTCAAACAACTTTTTTCTGTCTTAGAAAAATCAGTTCTACAACATATCAAAATTTTTTTTTCCTCCGGAGCCTGACTTTAAAAATCGATAAGAACATGTCTTTTTTTTATTTGGCCTTATGTTTGATGCTGTATATAATATGAATGATTACTGATAATGATACAGAATAATTTGATATGTGAAAAAAATATTGTGAAAAACGTAATCCCACATTCTGACAGTCTCTATATCAGCTTATTAATGAAACAATGTTGTTATACCCACTGGATTATATAAGTCTTGTGAATGAAGATGATACTGATAATGGTGGTGACGACAACAATGATGGCATGATGATGATGATGATGATGATGAAAGTGTTGATTGTGGTGAGGATGATGATGATGATGATGATTATGGTGGTGGTAGTGGTGACGATGTTGATGAAGATGATACAAACGATGATGACATAATGATGATACAATGATGATAATGATATCATAAAATAATGATAATAATAAAATGATAATGATGATGATGATGATGAAGATGATGATGATGATGAAGAGGAGGATAATGATGGTGATGAAAAGGAAGATGATGAAGTAGATTGTGATGATGATGAAGTAAATGCTGATTATAAAAATGAAGTTGATAATGATTATGATGATGATGACAACAGTAATGAAGAGGATGATGATGTTGAAGTAGATGGTGATGATGATGAAGATGATGATGATTAGAACAATGAAGCAGATGATGATTATGATGATGATGACCACAGTAATGATGAAGATGATAATGATGATGGTGATGTTGACAATGGTAATGACAAAAATTATGGTAAATATGTATCAATTATAACAGTATAGACAAATAAGCTTTTCAAATAAAAACACCAAAAGCAAATATATACAGATAGCAAGCTGATGTGCATAAAGTAAGAATATCATACAACAAATAATTATACAATCAAAGGTTAGAATGAAAAATAATCAAATATATTGTTAAGTAAATGAAGATTTTAAATTAACTTCAGGTAACTGAACAACCTCTACTGTACCAATAATATGTGTTACAATAGTATATGAACATACAATACAAAATAAATGATATCATATATGAATGAAAAAATTATAAAAAGGATATATAACAAATATATTGAAAAATGAATAAAGGAAAAAAAAGAAAAGGATGGATATTCTAGCAACCAGATTATTAAAGATATTATTAAATGGGATAATTTACAGTTGTTTAATCAATCTAGAGGTCTGTAGGACTAGCCTAACAGTTTTTAATTTAGTAGGTCTAAAAGATCTCTATGAGAAATGGTTGGCCCACACAGCAAATAACTGTTGTTCATTGCTATGAAGAACCTATGTTGTGTACTATGATATTCTGCTGCTATGGTGATATAAGAACTGCTATGGTGATAACATACATGTTTCTATGGTAGTGCAAGAATGTTGCTATGGTGATAATAGTTGCTTTGGTAATAGGAATAGTGGTATACTGGGATTTTAAAAGAAATATTCTAATAATCCATAGCTGTGCTGGGAGGTACTTTGACACCCTCTGTTCTTGGTAAAGCTGCGAAATTTAATGTGGCTTTCAGTGATATATTGCATAGTCATGTGAAGACACAGCCACCATTGTTTAGGAAACCATAGCTGTGCTGAAAGGTTTTGTGGCACCCTCTGTTCAATGGTGAAGCAGTGATTTTCCATGGAGGATCAAGTGATTAATGCATGGGTGTGTGAGAGACTTAAGTAATACCCTACGCACCGGTAGCCCCATAATAGAGATGTTGGTTCGGAAAAGAATATCTGTAATCAATAGATTGACCTGAAGAAATTGGGAAAAAACATGACATTCAGAAAATCACCCCTCCTTTAAATAAGATATTAAATACTAATGGCCTTCTTGAACTGCTAATTAAATAACAAATCTGAATATAAATAAATTATTTGGTATTTCTGAAATACTATAAAAAGTGAAGAAAACACTTTTTAAAAAAGATTGTAGATTTAAAGGAAATTCAGTAGAGTGTTACATAGGTTAAAATTGATTTCAATTGAAAATTGTTTGATCTAATTTCCCAACTTTAGATTTTCATTGTCTTCTGTAAAATATGCTGTTATTGTACTATTAATGCCCATGATCACTGAACTAGAAATTATCAAAAATTAAAATTGAGTTTTAACACATTAAAACTGGAAAACCCACCAATAAAAAATATCAAAGAAAATCATATAAGAACACAAACTGTAAGTAATATCAAATAATAAATATGCATTTAAAAATCTTCTAAAAAAACAATACAAATAAGAAAACTAAAATAGCAATTCGAAAGATGACCTGATATTTGAATAATTCATAAAGTATAAACTAAAAGTAAACTAGAAAGTAATATTGATAAAGATGGGGACTATTTCTGTATTATTTGTTGTATGATAAATTAATGGTCAGAAAGATAACATTTTAAAATTAGTTTTAGTTGATTAATTCGAACACGATCATAATTCCAAAAATCCAAGCTATGTCACTCAAGATAAGGTTTTACTAAGTACACTATAATAAAACATGATATTAAAATAAATTGTTAATTACAAAAAAAATGGGAAAAATATGGAATTAGAGAAACAGAACAACAAATGAAAGAACAAGAGAATCAGGAGTGACATTACAAAGTTACATCTAAAGTATTTAGGCCTCTGAAAGCCCATGTTTGAATAAATCTACTTCCAATATTATTCTAATCAAAGTAAAATATATTATAGCAATTTATTCAGTATTATTATGGATAATATGAATTGAATGAAACAGATAATAGAAGATGATTCAAAATATTAACTCAAGTTTATGAATAAATACCATATACAGTAAAACATAAATATCAAATATAATTATTATTATTATTATCAATGTATATAAAATAAATAAATATAAAAACACTAAAATAAGAACCCCAAATAATAAGAGTTAATTTTCTTAAAGCATATAAAACTTAAATTTAATTTAAGCTTAAATTTGTGTACAGTATTTAATTATTTGCCAAAAAAATCTTAAATTTAGCAGGTCTATAAACCTTAATGCAAAAGGAAAACACCAACAAAAATATGAATTAAAATGTTAGGATTTGATACCTCCAAAGTAATGTTCCTGAATTTGCATAATACCTGAATTAATAATCAATATATACACATCAACAGAAAGACATTCATATTAATTCCATGCATTATGGAAGCAACTAAAGGTTTTTGGTATTACAATCCCATCATGCCTTGCATGTTCATAAGCATTAAGTGTAGTTTTCACGAGGCAAATATTTTGCACTCACCACGTAACACTTTCAGATGTTCATCGTCGCTAGGGTCGCGTGACTCTTCGACGGGCTCGGTCACAAGTACCGAGGGTATATTGGAGTCTTAAGTAAAATTTCACATAAATTTATTCTTTATTTAAATTACGGTATTTACATTGTTAATAATTTGTTTCTACAACCATTACATTTCAAGGTAGTCAACAATTATTTAGAAATATTAGAAAACATGTCACTGTAATAATAATATTGATTTTAATAATTAAAAATATTAATAATAATGATAAATACATTAATAAATAATATATTAACAATGATAATTAGAAGAATACCAATAAAAACATGAAAATAGCTTCTTTTAATACCTACAATGTTAATGGTCAAAGTATTAATACTGTTTGTACTGTACTACTAAAAAAATAATATAAATTATATATACTATCGTTTCAACTTCTGAAATAACAATCATAATTATCAAATACAACTACCGGTATTCATTCTAACATTCATTAGGATTATCAATACGGCTTTCTATTCTAATTAAGAACTGAAGATGATGTCAAATGTCAGTGATTAAGAAGTTTGCATAAAGGTAATTCAAACATGCATAAATTCTAAATGCATGGTTAGTACACTTTACTGATAAGGGTTATTTCAAGAATAATAATCTTATTATTATTACATTGTACCAAAGAAAAGTATATTTCTAGTTAAATAGAAAAGATTAATACTCATTAGCAAAGTTATTTTTATATGACATGTTTGTCAGAGCCAAAATGATCCTTTCTTTTCAATTAGTAATCTGAATAATAATTATCCTATGTACACAGGTCTACTTATACCGATGTAAATATACAAACAACAACATACAGTACAACCTCACAAAACATTTGAACATGACCACAACAAGAGGCAGACCCAAGTTCATTAAAAAAAGGAGTAGAACAGGGAGAGAGGGTATGAGGCAAGATGGAGGAATAGTTCACAAGTATGGGTTCATCTTTTAAAAGATGATTGTTCAAATGTACGATGGAGGAAATTCCGAGATCTTTTGGAAATTAATATGATGCCAGATGGGGCATAGTTTATAAATCTGAGGTTCTTTTTCAAAAGTACTCCACTATACGTTGTTCAATTTGCATAACCTTATAAAGGTGATTGTTCAAATGCACTATTAAAGGAAATAATAATAATACAAAAAGTTGGGGGGGGGGAAAGGAGGGGATGATAATTTTTTTAAAGGGATTAATGTGAAGGAGGTGGTGAGTGGGGACTTGGAATCTGCCACTATAACAGAAAAGGAAGGAAAAGAATTACGGACACTAAGAGTTAGAGATAAGTTGGCAAACAAACTGAATAATTAAATGTACTGAAGTAAAGATATATGATTAATATAAACATTCAACATTCAATATATGGATGTGAAGAAGCATTCCAGATGGCCTACCATATTTTTTGAGTCCTGAGTAAGCTGTTGGGATATCAAGGGGAAAGAAATATGGAAAAAAATTATGTATGAATTATCATCGATGCAAAGGCTGATTCTAATGAGAAATGCAGGGAAAGTTATTATATCAAGAAACTTAAATAAAAGAAACATTATTTTCTGAGAACTTGTTTGGTTTCCCTTTAACAATTAAAATAATTTACATTTGGTCTCATTTGCATGTACTAAATAGAGGGTATTATTGCACTCATCTAAAAACCAGTGTTGTTTTTACGCAAACAGACACAGTTCTCCCTCGAAAGACTTCTCCAATTGAAGACCACCATTCTGCAGACCAATATGAATATGTAGTATTTATCCTCATAATAATAATTGTTTGAACTAAAGATCAAAACACCTAAAGACCATGAAAACCCAGGTCCCAAAATTGGTTTTTAATTGGAGGAGACCTCTACACAGTAATATTAAATTATAATTATTAAATAAAAGGATATTTATATTGCACCCATATCCACCAAATATGTGAGATGATAGTACAGTAGTTAAAAATAAAAGAATTTCAGTTGAATTTTTTTATTTATCTCACTATATTTTCATTCTATTAATAAATCATTTTTATGTCTTTACAATGATTTTGCATATTTGAAGCCAAACCACTGTATTTTTTATCAACAATATAATTAGTATGATCTCTACCTTCCAAAACAATTTATAATTAAATTTGATATGCCTAAACACATTCACTATTAGATTTAGATTATTTAACTTGTGGGATATATAGTTTTTGACATACTCCTTTTCAATTCATTCATCAATTTATTTCATTTTGTATTTAATTGGTTGAAATAAATAAATATAAATGTCAACTCTCTCATTAGGTATAAATGTAATTGTTGAAATATGGGAAAGAAACATTCAATGTGCAATACAGTCTAATCTATTCATGCCTCCAGTGACCATATATAACCATAATGCTCTCTACATCTACCGGTATTTTGACATTTGAACAAAATAAATGAGTACCCTGTATACAAATGATACTGGACTCAAAATCAATCACAATATCAAACAATCAATAAAGATATAAATAAATCAATAAATATATAGTGCAAAAATTAAGTCTTGTATGTATTAATAAAATGAGGCAGGTAGAAAAAGAGAAGGTTGTGGCAGGGTGCAATTAAGTCACTTGAGGGCCTTTCTTCTGCAACCTGGCAATAACATAGTTCTGAAATATACATTTCTAGAACCAAATCTGCTGAGGATATACTTATCATGATAGATTGTTTTTCAGCACAGTTTGAATGGAAGGGGAAATTTCATTAGTTGATTGATTATTGATTGATTGATTGATTGATTGATTGAATGTTCATACCATCAAGAGATAAGTGATTTGAAGAGCATCTCACTAGCACCTCATCAATATGGATACAGTGGATAAGTTTAAGAGGACATAGTAATTTCACTTACATGTTGACAACCAATAATTGATAGACACTGGGTAATAAACAAGTGTCTATAGTAAAACAAACATGCATATATAGTATGTATATACCCACAAACCAACATAAAGCATACATTATAGTTCATACTATAATATATGTTTAAGAACATAAACATGTAAAAAAAATAGATATTGTAAGAACTTTTTTCTGACACCCCCTTTCCCCCCTTACTTCATCCAATTATAAAATTAACGTAAACTGTATATTGTCTTCATGAACTGATCTCAACCGAGGTCAAAATAAATAGACATGTTGTGTAGTAAGTTTGTATAGGTCTGTTTGTTAGTATGTGAGAATATGTTAATGTTTAAATATATCCAAGTGTGCAAGTTTAAATACACAATAACTGTTTAAATAACAAAACATATGTTCTTTTCTTTATAAAATCCTTAACTATTCTGTAAATAAATATTTTTAAAAAAGAGTTTAAAATGTCCAGAACATCCAAGAATCCACAACAAGTCAATGACGGCAATCAAAACACCCAACATTCCATACAGATGATACAACTACTTAAATACCACTGTACATACCAACTGGAATTAAGGAAACTTGGTGGGAAAAGGAACGAAAAAATATAATATTGAAGGATAAAGAAAAGAAAAATAAGAAAAATTAAAAGAAAAGGTAAAGCTGAACAATAATAAACAATTAATTTTTAATCTGAAATAATGTTTTAATGAATTATTTTAATATTTTAAATAGTGTTAGCAACAAGATTTTCTTTAACTTAAAAAAATAATTACAACAAATGTCTCAAATTATTACATTAAAAAAATTTAGCATTTAAAAAATGATATTTCTAATCAAAAGGAACATATGATTATGTAGATGAGGAAGACTAGACACAACAAATGAAAAATCAAAAACAATCTAGAAAAACGGTAAAGAGAAAGAAGGTAAAAAGAGACGGAAGTCGTGCAACGATTCTTACTCCTACTAGCGGGGGAAGAGACAGGCTTTGCTTTGGTTTTACTCTCTTTAGCTTTGCTCTTCTTCTTTGACAGTGCTGAGGCTAAAAAGAACGAGGGAAGGAAAACCATCGAAATGAATGATCAAGCATGAAAATAAAGGTGGAATCAGCCCATAGATAACCTACATGATCTAAATACAGAAAATACCTGATGGTTAAATGAAGACATTTTTTAATAATATATACAGTGTACCTTTCATAGCTGCTATAAAAAGTTTACCAAATTAGATTCTGTAGTACTTGGAATATTTTCATCTACTGTAGTCTTTAGTTGAATTAATATACTGTAATTACAGTACCCTATATTAGATTCTGTAGTATTTAATATGTTTAGTTTTTGAAGAAAGAAATTGTGTTTACTTAGTATAACCAGAAAACCAGATAAAATTATATAACTTCCAAAGAGGTTGTTAAAATAAATATAAAAATGTATATTGAAATACAAATATTCTAATCGTTAGATACAATAACAATGACATTGATAATAATAATAAAAACATCCATAAGAATCACAATAATAACAACAATAATATGTACTGTACCATTACGGATAAATATAGCAAGTCATAATATCAACTATACAGGGCGCTTTTACTAAAAAAGAGCTCTGAATTAAAAATGCATAAAAGATAATAAACAAATTATTGAAATACATTCTATGTTTCCCAGAATACAAAAAATTAAGAAAATAAGAAATAAAAGAAATACATATGTAAAAACAAAGAAAAGTTTAAAATTCCCATCAGAAATGTTGGTTTGCTTTATGATAAAGTACACTACAGCATATCAATGTTCATTTAGAGCAACCATGAATGTATTTGTTTCTAAGATAATTATATTTTCAGCATGCATGAAAGCATCAGTACGCAAACACACATGCAATTTGACTTAAGGAACTTCAAAGTGTAAAATATGTTTTTCAAGCACATACAGAAAAAGCTTTTGCTTATTCAAAAAGAAAGTGCAGAAAAGTACATCCTGTGTGAAAAATAAGTACATAAAAGTAAATAAGTAAATAAATAAGTACACTATTGAAATGAAGACAGATATGTACAACAATAAAACATTCTACAAACTACTTTTGACTATGGTCATAAAGGTATATATCTGTCTATAATAATCTTAAACTGTAATTTTAATATTTTCATGGCTTTCTTATCTAGTAATGACAACGTTTAAAACTAGTCCATCATTAATTGGGGTATTACAAACTGACCAGATCTAAATAAGTAAAGCTATTAACCAATCAAATGCCTTGATCTTAAAGCATCCCCCTGATTTGCACACAAGTAAATGCTTACCTTTATATTGCTTCTGACTGGTCTTTTGCAACGGAAGATTGAGGGAGACAAAATGTTCGTGGCTACAAACTACTCTCAAAAATTCCCATTTCATCTCAACTAGGAGCTGACGGAGAAAGAAAATTTGACAAAATGAAAATAATATTGACAGCCAAAGCAGGTAATGGTGCAGAAAATAATAACAAGAAGAACAATAATAATGTTGGATGCTCTTTGTTTATTTTACGTTAACTATAATGTGTCATTTCTAGTCTATGAGCTCTAAAATGACGAACCTTAATATTTTACTATTATTGTTTTTTAGAAAGTAGGCCTAATATTATAATAATGAGACTTTTCGACTGGTTGTTCTTAACCGGCTTAATTGTTTACAAGCAAAAATTGTAGTTAGCAAAGTTGACCAAAATCGATTGGAATGAAACACATCGAAATAAAATGGCTAAGTACATATGCAAACCAGTAAATAACAATACTATACAAAATATATATCAAACCTTTGGATCACCATGGTTGAAGTTGTCCAGGTAACTGTTAATGATCCTAAAGACAAATCCACGGTCCATGTAGGTAAAGCAATGCTGCAATTACGAAAGAAAACAAATTACAAGCTGCCCAAAAAATAACAAAATCCTTTGGATAACTATAACAGATTCAGAAATCATAAATGCAGTCTGTATTTGATTAAGGATAGAAGAATTAGAAAGCAAATATTTTGACCACAAAGCTATAGCTTCTCTGAATAAGATATCTTTTTTGATCTTTACTGCCTTATTTACCAAAGCTTTCAGGAATGTGTAGATAGTCATGTCTTTCTATGATGGTTGATCTTAAACACGCTTATTGAATTTTATGTATTTTTCTAGTTCTTCTGCAATTACTGGAATTAAACATTCCTCTTGATTTTAAATTAGCATTTGGCTGAGAGTTAATGTTCCCGCTTCTTATGCTGAAGACTCCAAATTTTGAATGACAAAAATGAAATCAAATAAAAATATAAATGAAAATCAAATTATAAACCTTAATAAAATCAGCTAAGTGATAGTTGGCATTCTTAGCCTCCTGTGGCTGTTCCTTATGCTTCTGAATGATGTGGGGCATCAGGACCTGGACCAGGTTACGTAGCGTAGTCTCAAAGTTGGCGGAGAAGCGTTTGTGTCGGGCTAGCTTCAATGAGTCATTTGCAATAAGATACTGAGCCATGCATTTGACTAAGATCTTGAAAAAGAACCATAGATGCTAAAAATAAAAGAGAAATACTAAATTAGACAATTCATTATGAAACCAAGAAGTGGCAGTGCTAATAGCAATATAATTTAAAATAAAAATGTTAATATTTGATTGACCACGATCTTGCAAAACCACAAGTACTGATACTAGGATATAAATTCTAGACTATTCCAAACAAGGGGTGGTAGTTATCTAAGTGCCCCCGATGCTGGTATAAAAAGGAAAATGTAAATATGTCTTGCTAGGATAGTAGATGTTTATATCTTATTAAATAATGTTTACCTTAATAAATAGAAGAAATATATAATATAATTTTTATAACAATCGAAACGTCGATCCTTTTTGTCAATAAATTTTGTGTTAAAGTTATATGGTAAACGTCTGTTGATTCGTAATCATAGTATTGTTAACTTAAGCGTCAGCAATATAATAACATTATTTACTTAAATAATTTCAATATTATAATTGATTAATATCACTGACTGATGATTAGTATTAACATAATTCACTGCTAGAAGACACTACACATTTTTATATATTTGTTAGGGGGATACAAATACATTCTTTAGCTTCAATTACTTCAAAATATCATAGTATAACTGATGACTTTCAGTAATTAACTCACTTTCATTAGATGCTTGATGACAATTGGATCATTACTGGGCCGAAGCGATGATGCAACACATTTCATTAATTCCTCGTGTACTGTCTTGCGTTGTTCTGTTTCTTTCTGTGTCTCAAATACATACTGCACAGAGAATGTATACTATTATAAAATTTACTTCAGATAAACAATAATTTTTTTTCTCAGGCAAGTCACAATTATTTTCATACCATTAAAAAGGACAACAGTGTACTTAAAAACTATTACTATAATGTCAAGATTTCATTAAATAAATTCATACATTTCCTGAAAATAAACCAAGCCATATTTGTACCACAATTGGTTGTTATTGCATTGCACTTTTAGATGAAATTAAAAGAAACAAACAATAAAAGAAAAGGAATAATCAATTTTAATTACTGATATATGAAGTAAACATATGATGAAATATATTCATCTAGAGTAATATTCCGAATACGGGGGGAGGGGGGTTTAATGTGGGGATGGGTCAGTGGAAATTATTATTTTTATAGTGTACCAAGAAAACAATAACTTAAAGCTAAAACAAATTAAAATAGAAATAAAATTTTAAAAATATAAAAAAAGTCAGTTAAAAGAAAAGTTGAAAAAAAAATAAAATTTTATTATTCAACATTTTGTGAATCTGGTACAGCTAGCTTAGTACATACCATTACATACGAGTGTAACGTGTCATCTCTACCCTTATCGTGGACAGTTGCAACGATATGTATCACAAGACGCACAATGTTCAATTGAACCTCCTCCACGGCAGCTATCGGTAAAATATGGAACAGCTGGTTCAGGATGACAGGAAGAAAATTGATCAAAGTTGTCTCCTCTACAGCGTGCATTGCCTGTTAAAGTTAACACATTTCAATTTTAGGTTTAAAATAGGAATACGTAAATGACCAGTTAAAGCCTACATATATTTAACATATTCAAATTTTGGATTAGATTGGACACACATAATTCCAACAATTTTTTTTCCAGTGGTGTCCGTCTAATGGTAAATTGGGCAGTAGACCACAAGACAATCCTTACTCTTTTCCAAGGATTATATTGTGTTCTTTAACATACACATGGGCAATTTTGATTTACAATATAAAATGTTATATCAGCTAAGAAAGAAAACATTTAAACAATTAAATTGGCATAAAACTTTGTTTAAAGCAAGAACTATCCATCGATTTCAGCCAAGACAACGTGTATACCATTTTGAGCTGTGCACTTCAGCCCTCCAGCAAAATACAAGAACAGCAGCAATGAGCTTGAACCAGGCACCAAGAATACATAGGGATGGAATCTCTATAGTTCAGCTAACACACAGTTGCTAAGTGAAAGAGCTAAGCTGCCCTCTACACATTTAATAACACCTGATACAAAAAGCGATTTAATTTCACTAAGCACTGAATTCACAGGCAACAATGTTTCACCTTCCTTATTCTTCCTACCATTAATTCTTTTACTGAACTTACTTTGATGAACTTAATCAATTCAAGGCTATTGGTGGGTGAGCCGTCCCAATCTTGACACTGCTTAAAGAAGTTGTGTACATGCTGGTCCTTCGTGTAGATCGTTGACACCAGCTGTAGATTCAGTTTAAGTAAGTTCTTGCCACCATCTACCCACTTAATCTCTGGACCAGCCAACTTAATTTTTTAGAGAATTATTTCAAGCATATTATTTTGTCATTAATTACGTTTCTCATTTTTTGAATACCAATACTGATACTACTACAAATTACAGATATTATAGATAATCAATACTATATAATAATTACTTATTTATCCATTACATTTTCTGTATTATATAGTCATCTTTATAAAAGGCAATGACATATCATCATTAACACCATCATTGTCATCATTATCACCACAATGTTCATCATCGTTATTACATTAATAGAAAAGCAACAAACCTTTCCCATTCCAAGAACTTGGTTGCTCAGGTAACCTGGAGGAAGTGTTGATGATACTGATACACCGAGGGCGCTACCTACATTCACACGATCCTCTTTTAGGATTGGTATCCATGCGTAACCCACTGCAGTAAACAAAATATTATAATACTTTAAAATAAGTTCCATATCATCTCATTTAATCACATTTCTTCATTATAGCTCTTCTCATGTTATCACATGTCATAATATTCTACACTCATACAAGCATGCAAGAATCTACAGGAAAATAACCTATCCCATTAAAATGTATGATATTTTCATGTTTTTATTATACTGTATTATCAATTGTCTCACAGAAATCAGTGCCGATTGGTTTTTTTTTAATTTCCCAAGCCCCCTGCCCCCAAATCCACCGCTGCAGCAAAGTAAAATTAGATGTGTTAAGAAAACTCTTGGAAGTGTTTCGCCCACATGGGACCCACTATCCTATCTAACTGCACAACTCACCAAATGAATCAACTATCTCCCTCTTCTTGATGGTGCTTTTACCAACCTCGCAGCTGACATGATAAAACCGGAAGAGCAAGTGATGTCTATTATGTAAATGAACTGGAAGAGCTATTTTTATCTAAAGATATATAAAAAGAAAATAAAATAGAATATAACATAGCACAACATAACATTATATAATAATATAACATCACATATCTATATCTTTTATATATCGATACATCATGCTATTTTGTTATTTCTCCAATTTTCAACATTATAGCAATACAACGATTAACAATTTAAAATCCAAATACTCTTTTTTAAACAGCTATAAGTTTAAATTCCTTTAACTTCATAATGAAAAATCGGATTTCAATTAATCTTTTACCATTTTATAACTTTCATTTAACTGTTTAACCATGTATTAATAACACCAAATTTGTATGGTATGATATGATACAATATACAATATATATGTGATAATAATATGATATATATGATACTATATATAATATATGATACAGTAAATACATTGATAACAATAGTTCTCTTTATAAACAATAAACATGTGATGAACTCACTTCATTGTTGAAATCTGGACATTGCTGGTGGTGTAATACTGCCGTTGTCATTGACGATACAAATGCTGGCCCTCCTGGCCTTCCATAGATGCACTTTAGAGGACCTGCCCCTTCATCATCACTGTCCCGCAGTTCTACTTGGATTGCAATGTTACGAGCCTGAAAAAAATATTTACTATTTACTATTTTAAAAAATTCGAAACTTAACTATATAATCTATGAATATTGAAAAAACAATTTAAATAAAGTTTAATGCAGCTTGTATTAATAACAGATTTAGTTCTTATGACAGGACTGATTGAAGAAGCAGAGGAATACACAAAATGCGACTGTGGAAAAGCGAGTAATTAATTAGTCTGTATCTTATGTAATATGGGATGTAATGGTATTGCTGTCTCAGGTGTATCATTTGCTGAATAAGTTTGCAGATTGGGTAAATACGTGTAGAAGAAGGCAGGTGACTGCACATAGTAGTGGGGTTATGTTAATGATGCTTGTGTTCCTCAAAAGTTTGATTTTGTTGAATCCAGGGATTTTTTTTTTATATGTCGATGTGCATATCGACAGACTGAATTATGCATAAATCTCAAGGTGATGATTAGAAAACACTCTGTAACATTTGTGGTTTATTCATGTCTTCATTGTACCGCCTTGTCTGATCAAACTACCACAATACAGAGGGCGCTATTAGCAGAAAAGTTAATACATGAATCTTACACTACAATGAAAAGACATCAATTTTTGAAAAACATCAATAGTCAATATCCTCAATGGACAAAAGTAATAAGAACCATAATCATTTGTACCATCATTATTTCTTAGTTATAAATGACTCCTTACCTTTGCATACTGCTTTTGACTATCATACTTCAGAGATAATGGGTATACATATAAATTGTTTGTATAGGACACAAACGGATATGCTGACGAACCATCTGATAGATGCATCTCCTGGACCTCTAAGGAAGGTGGTCCATTTGGTGGTTCAGGCCAAGGCATTATGGGCACTAACGACGTTGATAAACAATCTATGCAAGACAAGAACAGCATTTCACTTACTCTTTTATTCTCACAATACATTAAATGACAAATTTTAAAAGTCTAAATAGAATATCTTCCAAAATAAATTAAACAATCAAGTTAATTAATTAAACCAATCAATCAGTCCATCAATGAAAACCAATCAATCAGTCAGTTAGTCAATCTATCAATCAGTCAATTAATTTGTCAGTCATTCAGTCAATTAATCAATCTATGAGTCACTTAAATTGTTAGTCAATCAATCAATCAATCAATTTGTCAGTTATTCAGTCAATTTATCAATCACTTAAATTGTTAGTCAATCAATCAATCAATTAATTTGTCAGTTGTTCAGTCAATAAATAAATCAATCAATCAGTCAATTAAACCATTGGTCAATCAATCAATCAATCAATTAATCAATTAATTTGTCAGTCATTTAGTCCATTAATCAATCAATCAATCAGTCAATTAAACCATTAGTCAATCAATCAATCAATCAATTAGTCAGTCAATTTGTCAGTTATTTAGTCAATCAATCAATCAATCAATCAGTCAATTAAACCATTAGTCAATCAATCAATCAATTAATTAATCAATCAATAATCAATCAACTAAACCATTATTCAATCAATCACCAATTAATTTGTCATTCAGTCAGTTAATCAATCAGTCAGTCAATTAAACCATTAGCCAATCAATCAATCAGTCAATTAATTTGTCAGTCAGTCAATTAATCAATCAATCAATTAATCAGTCAACCAGTCAATCAATCAATCAGTCAGTCAACCAGTCAATCAAATCAATCAGTCAGTCAACCAGTCAGTCAGTCAATTAATCAGTCAAATCAATCAAACCAACTAGGCAATTAAACCATCAATCAATCAATAATGCTCTTACTTGACAACATTCTAGTGAGTGGTTCCACATTTACTACAAGTGTTCCTGGAATTTCAGTCAATTTGGAAAGCTTCTCAGGGTTTCGATTGATGTCTTGTAGATACTTTATGAGATCAACCTCCGATAACTTGGAACTATCGTGACGATACAACTGTGTAAACTCTGCCCTCAATGCTAGTTCTTTGGTATTCTCCTTGAATACACGCCTATAAAGCAAAGAAAATTAAAATATTTGAAGCAAAAAATATGAAACAGAAGCAACAAACAACATAAACATTCTGTTTTGCTAAATACATCTACATAGCACATTTATGCTTCTGTATTCTATTGGTGGGTTTTTAATTAAGGATTGGCTCACATTTAGACAATCATTCATTAGGGGGTCCAAAGGGTGGGAGAACAACTAATATATGATATTAAAGAAAAAGCATATATTTAGTAGAAACTTACCTAGCTGCCCAACAAAAAGGCATTCTGTACTGACCCATCCTTGCACAACACACTTTGCTTTGCTTATAAATCTTCTGGCATGTCTAAATATAAAACAAAATTACACACAAATATAATTATTGATCTAAAATTACCCAAATGATCTGATGATCTATTATCCAATAATCATTGGTTACTATATCAACCAGCTTACTGTTTACTGTCAGTAACTTCTGAATTCATATTAAGAAAGTTAATAATTGCTTTCGCATAAGATGTGTACACATTATAGGTGGGTGCATTAACACAAACATTTGTAAATAAGTTTCCTCTTTTCTGATCAGCCACTAATGGTGCGCCAAACTAGTGGTTAAGGGTGCACGGCAAGAATGGAACTGGTGCCGCTTCCCGACTCAGTTCTTGCGTTGTGGTTGTTAATCAATTTTTTTTTTAAATCATCAAAATCTTTGGAATTTGGAAATTCTATAGAATTTTTGTCCAGGCTCATTTTGGCACCCCACTTCAGTCAGTGCCTGGACACGTGCCCTAACTGCACCCCTGTAGTTACGCCTCTATGTATTCCTTCCTCCCACTACGATCACCTTGAATTATGGAATAAATCATTTTTGTAGGCACAATACATATAGCACAGGGGTCACCTAAAATGTATGTAGAAAATAATAGCATGCACGACAGAGTGACAAGATGAGTGTACGCATTACATCATCTCTGTTTATATGGTGATGTATATATACACAGCCATTTATTAAATACAAACAAGAAACACAGAAAATGCCTATTATAAGTTGTGTTTACCTTTGCTATGTCCCCAGTCTTGATGTATGGCTCTGCACATGCTGCTATGCTACCCTGCAATACCTTTTCAACCTTCACCACAAGATACACTTCAGAATGTGGCTGCATCACTGAGAATAGACCCTAAAAGACCAGTGTTTCATTAATTAATATTACCGTCCATTTTATCAACCGCACAATACAACACCTTTGTCTATCAGCATTGCTACATTAAGTTAATTTTATGTAATGCTTGTCTTTGGTGTACCTACTGTAATCTTCCAGATATTTGAGCTTTGTTGCTCTATTACTTACTATAAGTCCTCCCTGACTTAAAAAATTCCATTCCTATAAAGTAACTCAAAGAATGGAAATTATGCTCTAAAAAAATGGTTCACAAACTATGGGCCGCAGCCCAATTTTGTACCACAAAACACCATTGGAGGGCCATGGAGTAACTCAGAAGGAAAAAAAAATCAAAGATTTGATTTTGTAACACCACTTCCTTTTAGTAATTGAAATACACAATTTATACAAAATTTTGTCATTTATAGCACAGATGAAGTCAAATTAATGTAGATCACAAGAAAATGGAATAATTTTTCATGGTCAGAGCATCTTGCCAGGTTTTGATATGTTGGTCCCTGGTGCAGCTAGGCCAAAGCTTGATGCCTAGAATCTAAAGTAGGCCATGAAGTAAAAAGTTTGCAGAACACTGCTTTGAAAAATGCAACACAATATCCGTTATAGCGGTACCAAATTATTTAACAAGTAAAATTATGTTGCTAATGTCTAGGAGCCAAGCACTCTATAAATTGAATCTCATTATAGAGAGACAGAGAGATGTGAGAAACACATGGTTGATTAAAATTAGTATGATAAGTCAAGATTAGAAGCAGTTTGCTTTAATCAAAACAGGAACTGAATCTGAATAAGTATCATTTGTCACCAAAAACCCAACAGAGATGGATTTTCTATCATTTTTATGATAAAAAAATTGAAAATGCCCCTTAAAGCTCTGTCCACTCTATCAAAGTTATGTGACAAATAAATGTGATACGCCCATATTTGTTTGTAATGCGACATCGACATGCCCATATATGAGCACACCACACACACCCATATATGGTGACATAAAATTTGATGGACAGAGCCTTGGACATTGTCCTATTAAACCTGTATTTCATAAGAAGAGCAGCTTGATGCAAAAGAAAAAGGGACATTTATTTGTCACATAAACCTAATAGTATGAACAAAGCATTAGAA